GGGGGGGAAGGGGAGTGGTGGTGGATTTGTACTTGGACGCTGGGAAAAGGAAAGTGGGGATATCCGCGTCCCTTGTGTATGTGTATGTGTATATCTCGTTTTCAGGGGAAAGAAATGCTACACAAGAGAGTTTCCTCACCACCATGGATTAGGCTACTTATCACATTATTTACCCCGCTCCATGTTTTTCTCAGGGGTAATGTAAATACAAATAGTCTTAGGATTTCTACACAGGAAGAGAGCGTACAAGCTCCCCCGTCTCTACCTAACCCCACGCACGTACATTTATCTACCCACCTCCAACAGCGATAACGACGACAGGGCTAGAATATAATTCACCCACCGATACGCTACGCAAGTTCTCGATATCAAGCAATGAGGTTACATACGCCGTTCTTTTTTTTTACCCCGGTTGCATCATTTTCACTTCATCCATACACTTGAAGTCCCGATTCTGTGTTTCTGTTCGGTGATCAAGACGAGGATATTAAGGATTTCTTTGGAGGGATTTGCAATATGTGACTGGATATTTGTTGGGGCCTAGATGGCGAGTGGTGGGTGGTGGGTGTTTGATAATAGGCATACGTCTTTGTTAGGGCGCATGGTTTCAGGCGTATGTGGTGAGAGAGACAGTATGGTAGACAGTGGACACGGATCTGTGGGGTATCTGGGGTTGCGTGGTGTGCAGTGAATTTTTGCAAGGGGGGGGGGGGGAGGAGGAGGCAGAAGGGTGGAGATGGAGGGGTGCAGGGAAGGAAAGAGTGGTTTAGGTAGGGATGTGGATACTTGTTGAAGATACTCGTAGACATGAATGTTTGATCTGCACGTATGGATAAAAAGGTGGTGGTGGAGGGGGCAGAGCGTGAGATTTGATATGATATGATTTAGTGCATTTGTCATCCCTACCTAAAATCTCCCGTGGAGCATGTGGACAGACATGACGCAGGATTTACAGCGGTAGCGCGCTGCCTAGGGGGCAGAGGGTGAGAGAATCATGCATATGCTTTTTTGACAGGGTGGGGTGGATTCTGTTATTATATAGGAGGCTGGTAAGCCTAGAGACGCATATTTAACTCTTGTTGCAGTATGTATAGTCTCTAGCCGAAGAATTCGGAAAACTAGTTTTTCCCCTTTCCAGCAACTCGCTATCACGGTAGCTAAGTGCTTCAAATGCTAAGGGTAGATAAAAATACAAACAAATGATCTTCAAGATCCTAGATCTGGTGTTTGGGGTCGAGATGCTGAGAAGTTAATTGAGTGTCGTAGTGCACGAAAAAGGGGGTTGCTGCGAGTAGATTGCGTAGGAGTTGTAAAATCCGGATTGGAAAGCCTACAAATCAGACGTCATGAACAACGATACAATCTCCCTGGATAACGGCACTGTAAACTTCAACCCCTCGTTCTGGCTCTCACTGAAAAAGTCAGTTGATGCCCAAGATACAAAACTTGACCCCAGAAGCCCAATTTGCCTCCTGTTGACTTGACGATGAGTTCGATCAGAGACAGATCCTTGGGGCCAAAATACAAGGCTGACGACAGTCACTGTCGAAGCGGTGTAGACGACGCAATCGACCAATACTACGAAGCCAACAATGACACTGCCAGTATCTAGGAGGGCTGAAGAGATCATCATTAGCACGTGGCTTGGTGATGGTGGTCTTCGCTGTCTCGACCAGGCCGTTGGATCCGTTCCGTGCTGCAAGAGTGAACCAGCATCCTCTACACCGGTCAGACTTGAGGCTCAAAACTGAGCGCAGAACCATCTTGACAAGAGTTTTCGTCTGCGTTGTCAGGACGATCATCGCGTACGTAGGCGCGCTGAAGAGCGCCCTGCTTCGCTACACGCCTGGGTGTTGGTTCGGCGGAGGTGCCAACATCACACAGCATCAGCTGCTGCACGAGGGTGTCATCTGATAGCACAATAGCGGGCTAGCGGCATCCCATGGTGTACAGCGAATGGAGGACGTCTTCCCGTTTTGAACGACTTCGTCGCGTTCCATCATGGCGAGAGCCGGAGTCGGCGCTTGGGAAAGACCAGCGCATTCTTTCTACCCTCATATCCCCTGGGTGCTTGCTTAGGTGCTCCTAAGCCAGCAATGGTAATCAGATAGCGAGCTGTTATGACGGTACGGTACGTACGGCGGGGTCGATGGAGCTAGCGAGCTTCTTGGATATTCGCTTGCTAATCGCGAGCCTGCAAACTCCCAGAAGTGGAATATCAGTCCTAACCTCAGCTGCGGTAAAAAAAAATACGTTCTGGCGGATCTGCGGATACCGGTAGGACTATGGCTCGGGCCGTAGGACAATGGTCGGCTTCTCGAAGGATCCTAGAGATGATGCATCTCTACACACCATCTTACAACCCCCGGCCCATCTCCTTTCTGCAGCACAGCCTCTGGCAAGCATTGCGGACTTGGTCGTGATCATGGATGCTTATGGTTTTGGCTGCAGCTTCCTTTCGTATGTGAGGCCATGAGAGTGCCAGTCTCATCGTCAGCCCTATCAGAACGTTTCTAGTCGCATATCCGGTGAAGATTTTGTCTGTGGTTGATGCATATGGTCTGCGAAACGGCCTCAAGCGGTGTATCTGCGAGTTGTGTGTTGTAGCAATGGCTGGCTCAAAGAAGCACCAATGATGCGTAGCCAGCCTCTCAGCGATATCGTCGTGTGTCGTAAATCTGCTTGACAGCTCAGCATGAGGCTCTGCAAGACTGATGAGACAGGTCCAGAGTATTCGAGTTTCAGCTAAATGCCGCTGCTCGCTGAAGGGAGTCCGGGATATAAATGCGCGCCCGCCAGACGACAGACTCCATATCAATACAACCAATCCAGACTCTTTTGAAACACCTATCTCTCCACCAGAAACTCATCCTATACATTATGGCGGGCAGAATGAACTCTTACTCAACTGGACCTTCTTTGAAAGAACGTATCAGAGCCTTATACAACTTTAGCGAAACTTTTGAGGCTTTCGCCCCGTTTCCACAAGCCTTGGTCCATGAGAGATTTTTCAAAGCAAAGGGAATGGCGATTGCATATGTTGAAAGCGAGGTCTATAAACATCAGCGAGCTGTTGAGACGTATCTCAGAGAAAGTCTCGAATCCAAAGACTCTGAACCGGACGAGACTGTATATACGCAGACAATGAACTTGTTTGTCCGTGATGTGTTACGCCATGGTATGTAGGCTTTCTGCCCACGGATGTCCCTCACCAGCTAATATATGAGAAAGATCAATTAACCGAAGGGGGTCGGAAAATGTGGAAAGCTCGATCGCCGTCAGCTCTCGCCATGCGTCAGTACCGCTGGCTCAGCCGTGTAAACGAGCCAGGCGTGCGTGCCGCAAACGGCGAACTAGCCTCAAAGTATGGCGATATGGGCAAAATGAGACCGTCCGATCTTGCCACCATGTTCCATGAAGACCTTGCGCCTATGGAGCAGTTTGTCTTGCGAATGGCAAATCCGGTATGGCATTACCTGGTCAATCCCTATAAGGATCTCTCCAATAAGTTCTCTGAGAGACTCATATCACTTCTACCGATACATAGAGTTGCAGATTACAACCAAGAGGGTTACGAGGATAGTGTGGCGAAGGAAACGCTCGAAGCTGTAGCGAATGTCCTTGTGTACATGCTGTTGACGCTAATCTTGGTTGCTCCCATTGCGATTTTCAACACTGTGGAATCCCAAAAGGTCCGGATCGCGGTCATGCCGTTCTGCTGTCTGCTTCTCATCTCGTCAGCACATCGTATGGGAGAAAAGCCTATGCTCATGGCCACACTTGCAACCGCGTAAGGCTACCGTAGCAACTGTTTGGTTTTCTGGAAACAAGTTACTAATTGTGCCACAGTTACGTCCAAATCATGGTGACTTACGTTGGGACGACGGGCGATCAACATGCCGGGCGATGAGTGGAGTTGGCAGGACGAATTTCGACGGCAGTGGTCCTCACCGACTATCGTTGCTCACGGACTACAGTAACCCGATTAGTTTGACTCCACGCCGTCCATGATTTAACCTTCCCCTTGCTCATAACTCTTAATTACATGCAATGTTGATCAACACCACAAGTCTCAAGTCCATGGATTTGCCCGTGCACTTTTATTGGGACGCCTGACGATACGCGTCCTTCTTGTTCCGCGTACCTGCGTAGATGCCACCTGGTGCATGACACGAATCGACCCGGAGCAAGGTGCCGATGACTGAACATTTTACTTGGCGAAGTCCAACAAATTCATTCTGGAGAGAAGGTCGCTGCTGTATCAAAACTCTACATGACGAGTCAAGGCTTCCACGGAGAGCAGTCACCATGACGCGGTGCCAACAGAGTGTTTGAAGCAAAGCCACACCCGTCACGTGTGCTGCCCGGACTCGCATGCCCAGCGCCACTCATCATAAACGCAAGGCTGGCTACTAACTGCTAATGTCAAGCTGCCCCTAAAAAAACTTCGCCACAATCGCTTCTCTATGCTGAAAATCGTAGGTGCCGGCTGACGCACTCTGTAGCTATCTCCATCGTTACATTCCCAACTCCATCACCCATTACCTTGATCCTCTCAATATTTTTTCTCCCACTTCCAGGCCTTTCACTGATTCCTTCGCGTGCCCTCCATGAGCACTGTGCGTTTTCCTTTGGATTCTTGGTTCCCAAAAACCGGTTTGTTCGATCCTTCACATGCACCCGCATCACGGCAGCATTTGGGGATGCTAACTACAGGGCAGAAGAGAAACTCAAGCGTATTCTACGCGATGCCCCCCCGAAGCCAGCCCCTCCGCCGCCTACGGACAATGAGTCACCAAGGACGGATGTCGAGCTCCAAACACTACCCGCACATGAACACTGCAACGGCAACCTGACTCCAGCGACGCACATGGACTCTGCAGCTCCCTGAAATGTACTCGGCGCGTTATACAACGCGTTTTCCATGCCACGAGCCGAAAAGCACACCTGGACCCTCACAGATCCGCGGCGGACTTACCGGTACTTAGAGTCCCCTCACAACAACGAACATCACAACCGCCCTTCGGGGTTTTTTATCAACCTGGAGAAGTTTGAACGTCTTTTTATGCATACAATGGTCATTCAGCGATATTTTTGTCTTAGACCTCCATGGCGATGTGCCATAAAAGCATATTGTATGATAGGGCGGAGAGAAAGTCGGGTGTAGGCAGCTAGATAGCCATTGTTACATACATTCACCAGCCAGGAGATAGAGAATACTGTAAAGAATCATGCCCAAACGACCTGACACGGCGAAATCAACCCCCTCACCCCACGCGCACACAGAACACACACATACACACGACATACGCGCACACGCGTATACACACGCACACACCTTGCAACTACGCTCTGACTGCTTAGATAGCAGGGCTCTCGCGGATACAACGCGCATAGCGAAGCACCACTGGGAGCCCCGTGCTTCACCCGCCCCCATGCCCCATGGGAGATTTTGTGTGGGGACGTTGAATATCATACATACACGACGCGGCAAACATCCATGCCATTGTCTTCAGCCGCATTGTACAGAGACCCAAGAACCCGGATATGCGCCCGGCCGTCTAATTCTTCATGTCACGCCGCTGGTAGCATATCTACATGTTCAATACGCGCTGCTGCAAAAGCACAGGATAATGAAGCCCCAGCCGGACTGTGTGTCAATCTCTTCTATTCTTAGAATTCTGTATACAAAAACATCTGTTCAGTAGTGAAAAGCAAAATATGGACCGCTGGGTCTCAGCGGATATGAACATGCTAGAGACACCTTTTACCCGGAGGATCCCATCAGCACTCTTCCTATGTCTTCCGGTTCTCCTCTAGAGCTCTTGTGTGTGTGTGTGTGTTCTTCGTATATCCGCGAACATCCTCGCTACGCGTATAAGTGTGTAGACCGTATTCGGGGTGGAGGATCGTCTCATTTCGATCCGTGTTTTATAGCCATGGCAGTGCAAATCGTGGTTTCGAGTGATATGTGTGTAATCGAAGCACGTATTATATTTTTTGTGCAGTGTAAGGTGCACGAGTGTGTTAGTGGAGAAAGCGACAGACGTCTCCAATCGGTGTATAGGTCGAATGTTGTATAGGGACCAGAAGGTCATGCGAGGATTACTGACGGCATGGTCACCCAGGCTTCATCGGAATGGTCGGGGGAAAGGAATGGGTTGGTGTTATATCTCCTCTTCGTGGTCCATGAAGTGGGCGGTTCCAAAGCCAAGTGATATATTTTCCATGTGCTAGTACTTCTGAAGTGGGGCACTATTCTGGGGTAGACAGTGTTCACTCTTGTACTTCTTCCTACTCTTGAAGCAGAAATGATTGGTTTTTTTTCATACTTCTGAATTGAAGTCGAAGCTGGAGACTGAAATGAGTCAGTCGTATCGTCGGTGTGTATATAAGTGGGCTCACCAGCGCGACAGCGATGGCCGAAAGTGAAGCACCAATATATATAGTCCTGGCCAGGTAGGATTAGATGAGATGAGATGGGTTTCCTAGACGTGTGACGAAGTGCATCTAATATAGGCGTACGTACAAAGGAGAGCCAAACAGCAAACTGCTTGTCCGTGAGCGAAGCGCGAAACATGGACGCGAACAAATGGAAGCTGACAGAAGTGCTCAGACGGGTGATGTGGAGGCGCAGAAAGAGTGAGACGACATCAGATCATCGGGGTGTGGAGAGTGATCCCAAGGCATGTGTAGGCGGAGGAGTATATGACGGCCTAGTGGAGACGGATGACAGTGCTTCATTGGGAGAGAATTAAGGGAAAGATGGGCTAACCTGATGGGATACTACGATATCCGCCTTTGTTTGTGTTTTTCAGTTCAACGCAGGACAAAGGTGCTTTGTCCTTAGCTCCACGTGGCTGTACTGGGTTTTGTAATCGGCATACCTAGTTTTACATGCCAAAGCAACGGCGAAGTGGTGGCAAAGCGGAACATTGGATTGAGAAACATTCGACTGTCGAGCCGCACACTTGAATCTGATCAAAAAGGCATCTGGTATGCATAATGGAAATTCATATTTGGATAGAAGCATCCAGCCTTCATGGACGGCATATTACGAATGAATGATACCTACCAGCCTCAACAGCGTGACAAGGACATCCAAATGACTACCGGTTCCATCGGTCGGGGCTATCACGGCCCAACATAGCATAGACAGTTCAAGGGTATCTTCCTAACTCTCCATCTCATGGCCTCCTTTCCTAGATGAGGCTGGCTTTCGCCCAGGTGTAGGGACATGCCCTGATAAATGTCATTCTCTCAAGCACCAGTGGTCTCTCAAAAGTCTCCACCTCGTCCCCTGCCACCCCTGCCTCTCCTGCCCCCGCGCTTCTTGCGGTCCCAGTTGCCCCTAAATCCGCGACCGCCTTGGTGACCGTTCCTCTCGTCGCGCTCGCGCTCTTCCTCTTCTCTCTTCATCATCTCACGCTCTCGTTCTAACCGCTCTGCCTCAATCTCCTCTGGGCTCTTTTCTACGCGGACCTCGGGCTTCTTAAGATCGGTGGGGAATCGCGCGTGTGCTCCGTACTTGCAGCCCTTGCCTTCAGGGCAGAAACCGCATAGGTAAAAAGGACATAGCTTGTCTTTCTTGTTGTGCTTCAGCGCACAGTATGGGCCGAGTGGGCAGAAGCCTCGATCGTAGTGTGGGCAGGATGGCCGCTTCGCATCGGGATCCAGGTGGAGGTATAAACAGTCGTCGCCGTTTGAGCAGGTCTGTGTTCGGGCGTAGTAGGAGCATTCGGGCATCCGTCGGAGGTTGTATTCGTGAAGAAACTCGCATGCTTCTCCTTTTTTGCACAGGCCCCGCAACCAATGCTTGCATACCAGACTGGAAGTTCAGTCAGCTTCTAGTACAACCATGGGATACACTACAGGCTTGCATACTTGTTATAGGACGAAGAAACGTTGTGCTTGTTAGGACACTTGTTACCATCTGGGCAGTGGCCCTGGAGATATGCTTTGCATGTCGGGCGATCGGGATTGAGGCCAAATCGGTATTCACGTCTAAGGAATTCGCTGAATTTAAAGTTGTACTGCGGTGGCCGAGACTCTGCGGGTGTTTGTTCGACCGCTGGCGCTACTGATGTCATGACCTCAGTCATTATCAGCGCGCTTTATGGTTTACGCGTAAGAATATGATCGCGCGCTGTGCTCTGGTAGCTGGTGCGACCGATCACGACCTGACCCGCTGTAGCTTGTCGCGTAGAAGGCGTGTGTGGTGTGGCGAGCGGGCGTGTAGCTGATTGCAATGTGATACAGTTCAAGGCATCAAGTCTTCAATACAGGCGCAGTGACTCTGCGAAGTTGTCGTTGTGTTGAAGATTTGGGTGCTGTTCCAGGTGTAGTCAGATGTCGACGCAAACGGTTCGCTGGACAGGCCGCGGGATCGACAGCGCGAAAGCACGTGATCGCCAAGCAGTAGGTGCAGCCTTGTCGCTCGTGCTCGCAGCATCTGTGTCTGCACTCATCATGCAGCTTACCGGATCTGCATTGTACAACGCTTCTGTCCCACATCGTTTTTCCTTGTGCTGGTCTCTGAGCCACATTCGAGCTTTGCGCGTGCCGTTGAACCGACTGTCAATGTTGGCACAGCCTTGGGACCCCACATTCTGCTGCGCCACAGCTTCCACCTCACTCTTGGACGGCCCGCCGATACGAACCTGCATCCTTGCCGCCATATTTGCGATCAGCTATGTCTGTGCCCTGGATCCACCTCCATACTGCATTTCCTTCTCTCAAGCCCATTTCCGCAAAGTGATATCGGATGCTTCTTGTCTTCGATCTTCCCACGGCTTGCGCCATCCTCTGCCCACTTGGACCGGGGGACTGTTCCGATTATGCTGACAACAGCACTTTATTTGAAGCTTTGCGTCATTTTAACAGGGCTCGTCTAACACGAACATGTCTCCAGTCCGTACGACCCGTTTACTGTCAATGGCGGGTTCATTAGGGCTGCTTAGGCCTCGCAAGATCTCAAATGCACTCAGTCCGGTTCAAGCTTTCTGGTTTCCTTTTTCTGGGCGCCAGCATCTAGATCACGAAGACCCAACATTGGGGACGTTGCGGCCTCATCTGTGAAGCAAGTCGACCTTGACGCCCACTATCCACCAGTCTTCTCGCAAGACGATTGGTTCATTTCACCAAACTACCAAGCTGGGCTTCACCGTCTACTGTGGTGTGAAGCTAGAAGCAGCTATAGCAATTCCTGCAGAAGAAGCTTCTCCCGTTCAAGGCCAAGTGGCGGGTCCGTTGACATCTAACGTGATCACCCGTGCATTACATCACCGAGCGGCCTGTGGTGCCATGATGACTTACTCGGCGGGAATATACAAGAGCAGCGGGATATGCTTCAAAAGTCCTTTGACATCACGATACCTGCTCAGTACTTTGCTTGTCAGCTTCTCCCAAGTCATATAAATAGGCAGACTATACATTTACAACAACGTATTCTATTACGTACCGATCCCCACTCGTGCATTCAAGACCATACCTGGCACCCGATATTTTCTGCTAACGAGTAATGCAGAGCTTCCGATAGCCGTCCAGCTTGGATCCTTCGAGGCCAGCTACGGGTCTCTACCTGCAAGGTTCCCTGACATGCAGCAGGCTAAGCCCTTAGCTTACGACGACCGACAATGAGCCGCGACTACTTTATCCCACTTAATCACGACACTACCTTTTCCACACCGCTGCAAGTCATGTATTGGAACGGCGTCTACTATCCTAACTGGCGCATCTATCGCGACCAGCCGCCGGTTTCGCTAAACTACGACGTCATTTCGCATGTCTTCTATGCGTTTGCCTGGTACGTTGTGTTCGGAACGGGCCGGACATGTGCGCTAACACGGCTGTAGGGTGAAGGAAGATGGAACAGTATATGTATGTTTATTGAGACGTTTGGGTGGTCTCTGGCTGACCTACTCGACAGCTAAGCGATGAATGGGCGGATGCCCAGATTGATGTTCCGGGTGTTGACGACATTCCTGCAACCAAGGGCTGTTTGAACTCGTTTGCACTTATTAAGAGAAAGTATACACGGTTACGAGTAGTGCTCTCCGTTGGCGGCGGTGGCAAGGGTAGCGAGCCATTTGCGGCTGTTGCCCGAGACCCGGCCTGCCGTGAGCGCTTCGCCCAGTCGTCTTTGGCTCTCGTGCAGCAGTTTGGTATCGACGGAATCGACAGTTAGTCTGCCTCCTGCTAGTTGTGACGTGCCACTGAACAACTCACAGTCGACTGGGAGCACCCGGCCGATGCCAGTCAGGGCCAGGACTTTATCGCTCTGCTAGCTGCCATCAGGCAGTATCTGCCAGCTCCTCAGTACACTCTGTCGTCAGCACTTCCTGCGGGCGAATGGGCTCTTCAGCACATCCCCCTGGGGCATGCAGCACAGTATCTGGACATGGTCAACCTCATGGCGTATGACTACTCTGGGCCATGGGTAAGTAAATGTGGTCACCAGGCACAGCTGTTCACGCCGCACATCCCACACAGCCCTGAAGCAGCGATATCCTGTCACTCTGCCGCCTCGTACATGATAAGTCAGGGTGTGCCAAGGCACAAGATTGTCATGGGTGTACCAGCCTATGGTCGAAGTTTCACCGGCACCCACGGCATAGGCCACCCGTTCTCGGGTCAAGCAGGCGAAGAGGGTACATTTGAGTACCGAGACCTGCCCCGCCCAGGGGCCGAGGAGCACGTGGACGAGCAGCTGGGGGCAGCATACTGCGTTGGAGGCGACGGGGGTCTTGTCACGTACGACAACCCGCATACGGTGAGGATGAAGGCCAATTACGTGCGGCAGAACGGACTGGGCGGACTGTTCTACTGGACTGGAACGGGAGATGCAAGTTCGCTCACCCAAAAGGATCGCAGTTTGGTATATAACGGCTTCCTTGGCCTGTTCCCGCAGTAGTTGGTGGTACTTATGCGGATGAAAGCACCGTTCTCTCTGCCGACCTTGTCAATACTCTGTTGATCGTCACAGTACCGTAGCCCCATATAAAATACGGCGTACTTTGTGTATATGTTGTTGATGTTTCCATGCCCTTGTTTCATGGGAACAGCTCTCGCACGGTGGTTAGGTTCGACGGGGCAGCTTAGGCGGCTCGGGCCTTCAGCATGAAACCCTGGGTGCCTGGGTCGAGGCAGCGTGGAGCACGGATCTGCAGGCTTGTGCAACTACACCTCGTTCTTCCACAGTTGCAAAGAGTACGTGTACACTGCCCGCGTCTTTGGTTGCGCGGCACAAAACGACCGAGACGTCTATTCCAGCCTGCCCTCGGAGTGTCGAGCGGGCCCTCGCTGGCGCAACGTGTGCAACTGCGTATCGCGAGCGAAGGCGCATTGATGCGGACTCGCGCCGACCCATATGTCTGCACCTCCTCTCTCGCTGGAATCTTGTACGCACGCCTCCGACCTGTAGTGTCCGCAGATCATGGATGCGGCGCTGACGCTCAATGCAGCTGAATACGATCCCATTGACCATCTCAACGCCCTCTTCTCGCACCCCGCCACGCTCTCGTCGGTCGCGGCCACGTCCGAGGCCCTGCGCAGCTACCAAGATGACCTCGACGAAGACATCGCCGGCGTCATTGCCTCGCAGTCCAGCTCGGATTCCGACAGCGTGCAGCGCATACAGGCCGCAAAGGCTGAGCTGGCCGACCTGTTCAAGCGCATCGAGAGCGTCCGGGAGCGGGCCATGCAGACGGAGCAGACCATCACCGAGATGACGGCAGACATCAAGCGCCTGGACAGCACAAAGAAGAACCTCACCCTCTCCATGACGGCATTGAAGCGGCTGCAGATGTTGACGACGGCATACGAGCAGTTGCGCAGCCTGAGCAAGTCGCGCCAGTATAAAGAGTGTGCCCAGCTGCTGCAGGCAGTGATACAGCTCGTGGCCCACTTCAAGAGCTATCGCTCCATAGACCAGATTGCCACGCTGAGCCGCAATGTCGCCGACGTGCAGGGCGAGTTGCTCGAGCAGGTCTGCGAGGACTTTGAGTTGACCTTCGCCAAGGGTGAAACGGCACAGCGCAAGGCCATGCTTGCAGAGGCCTGTCTGGTGATTGATGCCCTCGGCGAGCATGCGCGCACACGGCTCATCAACTGGTACTGCAACACGCAGCTCCGCGAATATCGGCAGGTCTTCCGCGGCAACGACGAAGCCGGCTCTCTGGACAATATTGGGCGGAGATACAGCTGGTTCAATCGCATGATGAAGACGTACGATGTCGAGCACGCCTCCATCTTTCCCTCGTACTGGCGCGTGAACGAGATGCTGGCCAATTCGTTTTGCGAGGGCACGCGCGAGGACTTCAAGTCTATATTGCAGAAATCCGTACGAAGAGGCGACGGGCAAAGTCTGGACGTGGAACTCCTGCTGTCGTGTCTGCAGGAGACGCTTGATTTCGAGCAGAGTCTGGAGCGGCGGTTTTCCAATGAGGTTTGTGAGAAAAGGATCAAGTCACGGCATGTATACTTACACTGTACAGTCTCGCTCTTCACTGGATACGGTGGCTTCCAAAGAAGACCGGCCACATGGTTTTAGTCAAGCCATCTCTGAGGCTTTTGAGCCTTACATGAGCTTGTGGGTTGAGTCGCAAGACAAGTATGTGCCACGCGCGTGTTTGAAGAGCATTTCTGACGATTCAGGCAACTTGCAATGCTCATGCCCAAGTACCGGCAGCAGCCTCTGCGCAACCCCGAAGAAGAATTCTCTCACCAGGCCGTCATACCTTCGTCGACAGAGCTGTTTAGTTTCTATCGCTTGACTCTGGCGCAGTGCGCTAAACTGTCGACCGGAACGAGGCTGCAGGAACTGTCAACAACATTTGCCAAATACCTAGACCAGTACGGACAACAAGTACTCTACTACTTTCTCAGTGAGAAGGCGGGTGCCCAGGGACCGTCTATCGAAGATGCGATTCTCATCCTCAACACTGCAGACTACTGCTACGTTACTTGCAACCAGCTAGAAGAGAAGATACGAAGCCGCATAGACGAAGAGTTCAAGGAAAAGGTGGATTTGCAAAGCCAGGCTGATGTCTTCATGGGCATCGCCAGTGCAACAGTACGCATGCTAGTCCGAAAAGTCGAGATTGCATGCGAGCCTAGCTGGCGGGAGATGCGAAATACGCCCTGGGCAAAGTTGGAGAGCGTTGGTGATCAGAGCACATATGTCGGCGAGCTGCTGCGCAATGTCAAGGAGAGGTCTGGCGAAATCCTCAAGTACCTCCACAAGCAGCAGTATGCGCGAGCATTCTGCGACAACCTCGTCGATCTCATGGCAGCGGCATACATTGCCAACATTGTGCAGTGCAAGCCCATTTCCGAAGTCGGCGCAGAGCAGATGCTGCTGGATTCATATGTTCTGAAAAAGGGCCTCACCGAGATACCCACGCTCAATGACGAGCCCGGCACCGCGCCATCCGCAAGGTATGTATTCCGAAGCGGGCTTTTTGTACTCGTTGGAGAAGCACACAGCTAACACGCATGCAAACACAGTTTTATCAAACGCGTCAACCAATCGACGTCAAAAATCGATCCCCTGCTCAAGACGCTGCAGGTCCGCCCGTCGCCGCCCGAAGCGCTCGTCCAGGCCTACCTCATCCACATTGCCGACAAATCCGACACCAACTTCCGCAAGATCCTCGACCTCAAGGGTATCCGCAAGGCAGAGCAGACGCAGCTCCTCGACCTCTTCGCTGCCTTCCGCGCATCCCCCAACCACGCCAATCTCGTGCAGAACTCGCCCTTCCTCACGCCCTTGCTGATCCAGGCGGGCTCCGGCAGCGGCAGCGCGGCAAGCGTCATGGGCACCATGGGCACCCCGAGTCTGAGTAGCGGCCGGTTCGATGCAGCGGGCCTCGGCAATCTGCTTGTGAATGCGGCGCGGGATGGCGTGGACCGGTTTGGGAGCCCCGCGCCCGGGCAGCAGCAGGGTGCTGCGGGTGCGGGCGGTGGGGATGGCGGCGCGAATCTGGAGAGCAATTTGAAGAACATTGGCAAGTTTTTCAGGCGAGATGTGGGCTTCAGGGGGTTTGGACGAAGCGAAGATGCACGGTAGAAGTGGTGGTGACAGTAGTAGTAGTAGTAAGGCATGTTGTCGGCCGAATTCACGTTATCTCAAAGTGAAAAAAATGGGGGTTCAATTGCATGTGTCGCTTTCACGCGTTGGGGGGGTATCATACATAATGCGTGGCCTCTCTACAAAGAATAACCAACAAGCTCATCAGTCGTTGAAAATGAAGTCGAAGTTGAGCTCGTCGTGGCGTCCCTGCCCCTCTTGGTCGCTCATGAATACATCTCCTCCGCCTATGCCGCCGTCGCCATCGCCGTCACTAATCACCATGGCCTCTCTTCTCCGCCGCCGCACTTCGCGCTCCGAGCCGCCCGCGCCGCCAACATGGCCACGGCTCTCCATCAAGCGCCACCCGCCCCTGGGTGTCTGGGGCGCAAGCGACGAGTCGCGCCAGACGCCCATGTCGCACAGCAGGTTGAACGCCAGCTGGGCGCGATGCACGACCTCGTCGTCCTTGCTGTACAGATCCTTGATGAGCAGATCCTTTGCCGTCTTCGAGGCGTAGAAGCGCGTGCACAGGATCTTGGTGGCCGACGCGCGGATGTCGCTGTTGTGGCTGGTTGCGAGCGTCAGCAGCGACGATGTCTTGATGGCGTCTTCCTGGTGTGTCGGCTCGTGCGGGCTCGCGGGTGGAGCGCCCCGCGGCGACGCAAGGTTCTGTGGGTTGCGGATTGCTGTGAGGCTGCGCACATGTTGTAGGCCTGAGGAGACTTGCTGTACGGCGATGAAGGTGAGGACGCCTGTGAGGGGAGTCTGGTTAGTGGGGCGGCGGCGGTGCAGCGAGGCATCAACGGACCTATGCCGAGCCAGAGCCAGTGGTCGGGGATGTTTGTTGTCTTCGCCATGGGGGCTTGTTCATGGTTTGCTGGGTTGAAGGTGGAGGCGCAAAGACATGACGCAGTGCTGTGAGGGAGTTGAGAGCATGCAAGCGATGATGTCGGGAGCCGCGCGCAGGGTGGGGGGAGGAAGTCGCGCTAAGACGGGTACTAGGCCGGCCTACCCATGTCGCAACTTTTTGGCCCGCTGAAATTATTTCACCAACGCCCATCTCGTGTCGCCCACGACAATTGCCTTTCCCCCACCCTTTCTTCGCCGCACACACAGCGATTTACTCAAAAAAGGGCTCTGGCGGCCTCGAGTAGCCTCCCTGCAGAATGCCGCCGTCGCAGCTGAAGCGGCTGAAAAGCTCGCTCCGCGAACAAGGCATCACGGGCCCGCAAAAGTCCAAGAAGCAGAAGAAGTCGCAGGCCAAGAACGCCGACCAGCACCAACGGAGAGCCTCTGCGCTGGCCTCGATCCGCGAATCATTCAATCCGTTCGAGTTCAAGCACCTTGCGCGTCCCCACAAGCATGAGTATGTGTCTGCGCAGGCAGAGAATGCGCCCAAGAAGATCCTCGGCCGGCCTGGTGTCACCAAGAGCCAGGGCGAGGAAGCCCGCAGGAAGTCGCTGCTGCCAGAGATGCATCGCAAAAACAAAGTCGGAGGTATCCTGGACAGACGCATTGGAGAAGACGATCCGACCATGAGTCTCGAGGACAAGATGATGGCGCGCTTTGAGAGGGAGCAGCAGCGCAAGAGGGGTGGCAATGTGTTTGATCTCGAGGACGATGCCGACGAGGTTCAGCTGACCCACGGCGGGCAGTCGCTGCGTTTTGACGACGACATTGGTGAGGAGGACTACGATGCGGCGAGTGTTGCTGGCTCGAGCGATGACGAGGATGGCTTCTTGAAGAAGAAGAGGCGGAGAGACGATGTCGACGGCGAGGCGGATGGCGAGGCGCCTGCCGAGGAGCAGCCAGAGCGGAAGAAGAGCAAACAAGAGGTCATGAAGGAGGTTATCGCCAAGTCGAAACAGCACAAGTACGAGCGTCAGGCACAGAAGGAGGACGATGACGAGCTGCGAGATGAGCTTGACAAGGATCTCAACGACGTTCTGGCTGCGCTGCGTGGACACATCAACAAGAAGCCTGAGGCTGAAGCACCCAAGAGCTCGCAACTCAACGACTTTGGAATGAATGCTGACCGCGCAGCGCTTCTTGCGGGAGCGACACAACAAGACAAGGACAGGGAGTACGACACGAGGGTGCGCCAGCTGCTGCAAGACCAGCGTGCGAAGCCGACGGAACGGACAAAGACGGACGAGGAGAAGGCCAAAGAGGAGGCCAACCGTCTGAAGGAGCTCGAGCAAAAGCGCATGAAGAGGATGCGTGGAGAGTCGATCAGTGATGATGAAGAGCCACGCAAGAAGGGTGTCGAGGAGTCTGATGAAGACGATGAGGACGAGAGTCTGCCGGACGACGCCGCTGAGTTTGGACTCAAAGCTCCTGGGCAGCTCCGACCAGAAGGTGTCGAAGACGAGGATGATTTTATCATGGACGACGACCTCATTGCTACCGATTCTGAAGCTGATATATCCGATGACGGGTCTGACGCTGGCTCGGCTGTCGATGATACCATGGCCATGGACGACGACGACGCAGACTTTCTCAAGGATGTCATGCCAGAGCGCAAGGAGCAACCCAAGGCAGTCAAAGGCGTGCTCAGTCTCAGCGCCGAGCCCTCTTCGAAGCTGGCTTTTACGTATTTGTGTCCGCGATCACACGAAGAGCTGCTAAAGGTCTTCAAGGATGTTGCTGCCAACGATACCTCGACAGTTATTCAGAGGATACGAGCGCTCTACCACGCCGGTCTCCATACCGACAACAAGAACAAGCTTGCCGACTTTGCTTGTGCGCTCATTGACCATGTCTCATACCTCTCGAACCAGACGCCAGCCGCGCCCCTGGCAGTGATTGAGGCCATTATTCGTCACGTTCACTCCATGTCGCGCTCGTACCCTGTGCAGATTGCGACCAAATTCCGAGAGCACTTGAAGCAGCTGCAGGCCTCCAACGACCCTACGCCAGGTGACCTCGCTGTTCTGTCTGCTATTGGCTCCATCTTCCCTACCTCTGATCACTTCCACCAAGTCGTCACGCCAGCCATCACTCTCATGGCACGCTGGATGGGCCTTGGCTCGCCGGCCTCGACCAAAGACGTTGCTACTGGTGCTTTTATTGGTGCATTGTGTCTGCAGTACCAGATGCTATCAAAGCGATACATTCCCGAGTTCATCCGCTATACTGGACTCTGCCTTAGTTCGGAACATGCTACGCCTGCGCTTCTAGCCGCTCACAGCAAGAATGTAATCACGGCTGCCGAACTCTGGGGTGCGTCGACAGCGTTTATCGAGATTTTCACACCCCTCCTGGCACCTCTGGAGGCGGCCAAGCAAACTTCAACACTGCAAAACGTACATGCACGCCTCTCGCTTGCGCGGTCTAAACGACGTCCTCTCCTGCTCCACAACCACCGGCCGCTCCCCATCAAATCCAACATTCCCAAGTTTGAAGAGTCGTTTGATCCCAACCGCCACTACGACCCCGACAAGGAGCGGTCGGAAGCCAAGAAGCTGCAGAAGGAGTACAAGCGCGAGCGGAAGGGAGCGCTGCGCGAGCTACGCAAGGACGCCAACTTCATTGCTCGGGAGAGCCTCAAGGAGAAGAAGGAGAAGGATCGTGCGTACGAGACCAAGTACAGGCGGCTGGTGGCAGAGATCCAGGGCGAAGAGGGCAGGGAGAAGAACACCTACGAGAGGGAGAAGAAGGCGAGGAAGAGGTCGTAGATCACGTCCCAGGGTTATCTTGGGCAGTGGGCATCTGGATAGAAGCAAAATGCAAAAGACGGCGCAGGTGGGTGCCGCTTCGGTTGTTCAAACTCTCCCCTTTTCTCTGCAGCTGCACATTGTTGTTTGTCTTTGCTTTAGCTGCGGTACACCTACCTACAACTAAGGTGTAGCACTTGCTTCTGGTGCAAAACACGGTACTGCAATGGCAAAAGGAAATACGGCTCTGGCGACCCTCGCCGAGTTTTTGTGGAGGAGCGGAAGGCCCCGCAGTTTTAATTGCCGTTTGCAGATACTGTCCTCACCGCTGACGCAATCCGGACATGCCATCTCCACAGAAACCCAGAAACCGCTATCGTGGAGTGGGGATGAAGGCAGCCGAGGGCTAGGCGGGAGGGAGAACACGTAGACTGAGGGCTGCTGCTACATTACTCTCGGAGAGGACCCGGTCCGCCTGGCAAAGCACCGAGCAGGCGAGACTAGCCGCGTTTTGATGCACACCCGATAGTAGCAATCTAAGCTACCAGAGTGTAGGTGTAGGCTGGGGGTGGGTGGCGATTGGGCGACGCGTATGTTGCACTGTCGGCGGCCATGCCATCACCCACACAGACATGGGGGCGAGAACAGGCAAAGGCGGGGGACAAGACTCGTGCTCGGGCTCCAGGCCTATAGAACAAAAAAGAAAAGGCACATGTGCTGGCAGATCGGGGGGAGGGAATCAGAGCAAGAGGGAGAGTGACATGCACGGCGTGAGTCGCTGTGCCCTGAAAGCGAACCCCCCACATTCAACTGAGCCTGTGCGCGCCTAGTCTCAAAAGCAACCGCCTTTCCCCACGTGCGGCTGCCTGGCTGCCAGAAAAAAAACCTTAATTGAACCCACAAACTTCATACACACGCTCGCTCGCTCACCCACACCACCGCTTAGGGCCCCCGCCTACTGCAATAGCGCTTATTGTCCCTGGGGAGCTTGCCCTGGAAAGGCCGCTGGTTCCGTGGAGGCTGAACCTGCTGCCCTCTGCCATCCCGCGCTGCCGGCCTCGCCCACCATGTGACGTCAGGCCGGATTCTGGCGACACCAAGAGAAGCATCGTCGGAAGGCGGGTCGAAAGCGCATCTCGCACGTCACGGAATGGCGCGGCGTTGGGGCCGTCGAGTCCACACCTTGTCCAGTCCGGCGGCAACAGTGCTCCCTGCAGCGGTGCAGCGACCCTCATCGTGTACCCAGGGACCGCCCGCGGTTGCAACGACGCTCGCCAAAGCTTTACAAAAAAAGCCCACGGTACTATAGTGTGGCTGCCGTGGCAGCCAGCTAAGCTCTCTTGGCTGTCCTCACACGCCGAAGTCGACATCTCTGCTTCCGAGCACGCAATCTGCGCCCTGTCCGCTTTTATTGGGCGCTAGTGTGGACCATCGCCCACTATCACATCCTTCACCCAGCTATCCCTGTCGCCATGTCCGCACACCTATGCACCATGGACCCATTCTGAAGCTGGGTCCACGGAGAAAAGCGTCGCTTTTGCTTGCAATGTCAGGCAAATCAGATCGGCATAAGCAACCGTGTGCTATTCCTCCCGGACCCTTACCCACTCAAGCTCTGCTTGAAAATGCTCGCCCGGTCCTGCATACCTACTCTCTCTCCATCACTGCCCTCTTGTCTTCGACCTCCGCGGAATAGCACTGCTTGCCCACCTGCCGGCTGAAGAATTCAACCAGCACTGACATGCTCAGATGCCCCTATTGGCGATAGTGATCACGCAATCAGCGGGCCAACATCAGCAATACTGAGGCGTTTTCTAGGTTTCGGCCCTACTGGCCTCTCACCCTCATCGCCTAGATTCTGTCCATTGCCTCGTGGCCAAGCCGTCCTTGGGGCTGAACCACAAGACACGCCTCTGTCATACCCCCTGGTTATAGCACTCTTGATTGGTACCAAGCTACCGAGCTCCCGTCCCGTGCTTCTACGCGTTCCCCGTCCCCGGAATTCATAAGAGACAAGCTTCCGACAAGCAAGTTTATACTTTCTTGTCGCAGCCACTCTTCCAGGCACTTTGCACTCCCGTAGACACGGTGCCCCTATCCACATTGGAGTCGGAGTAGCATTTGACTAGCCATGGCCTCAACAGCCAACAAAGTCGGCCACGGCCTGGCCAAGGTCCTGGGCATCGACCTCCATTACAGGAACGAGACGGGCTCGGAACGCGTTACGCGAGGAGAGAGCGTCTTCACTGTCGACTCTGCCGATACCTATGTCGAGGACGAGCCGACTACAGGCGAGTGGCTACACGAAATCCTCCCCAGCAGTCACGATGTAGTCGAATATCTATACAGCCTCATTCCTTTTATCCACTGGATGCCTCACTACAATACGCAGTGGCTTGTCGGAGATCTTGTTGCAGGTATGTCAACATGCAAGATTGTACCATCAAAACACTGACCTCTTCTAGGAATCACAGTTGGTGCCGTCGTCATTCCCCAAGGCATGGCCTATGCAAAGCTCGCCGAGCTTCCTGTCGAGTTCGGACTCTACTCCTCGTTCATGGGCGTGCTCATCTACTGGTTCTTCGCTACCTCCAAAGACATTACAATCGGCCCGGTTGCTGTCCTCTCCAAAGTGACTGGCGGCGTTATACTATCAGCGGAAAAGAAACTGGCTGGCCAACACATACCAAAAGACATCATCGCATCCTCATTGGCCATCATTGCTGGTTCAATTGTTCTTTTCCTCGGCCTCGTCAGGATGGGCTGGATCGTCGACCTCATCTCTCTGCCTGCAATCTCGGCCTTCATGACGGGTTCTGCCCTGAACATTGCTGCGGGGCAATTCTCTACCATGATGGGAATCACCGGTTTTTCTACAAGGGACCCCACATACAAGGTGGTTATCAACTCTCTCAAGCACATTGGACGGACCGACCTCAACGCATCCTTTGGCCTCACATGCCTGTTCCTCTTGTACGCAATCCGATACTCGTGCGGCCGACTCGCAAAGCGCTTCCCGGCCAAGGCCAAGCTGTTCTTTTTCCTGAACACGCTACGCACGGCCTTTGTCATCTTGCTGTACATCCTGTTCAGCTACCTGGTCAACCGACACCACCGGGCTAATGGCACCAAGCCTTCCATTAGTACGCTTGGAAATGTTCCCCGAGGCTTCAAACATGCCCGCGTACCACACATTACCATTGACATCATCAAGTCTTTTGCTACGGAGCTGCCCTCGACTGTCATTGTGCTCCTTATTGAGCACATTTCCATTGCCAAGTCTTTCGGCAGGGTGAACAACTATGTTATCAACCCTTCGCAAGAGCTGGTGGCTATTGGTGTCAGCAACTGCCTGGGTCCCTTTCTTGGAGCCTATCCCGCAACCGGTTCCTTCTCGCGTACTGCCATCAAGTCCAAGGCCGGAGTGCGCACGCCTTTTGCAGGTGTCATTACCGCTGTCGTGGTGTTGCTCGCCATCTACGCACTCCCAGCCATGTTCTGGTATATCCCAAATGCGGCTCTGGCAGCTGTCATCATCCACGCTGTGCTCGACTTGATTACGCCTCCAAACACGGTTTACCAGTTCTGGCGCATCTCGCCCCTTGAGGTCGGGATCTTCTTCATCGGCGTCATTGTCACTGTCTTCTCGACGATTGAAAATGGCATCTACGTCACCGTATCTATATCCGCTGGCATGTTCGCTTTCCGTTTGTTCAAGGCCAAGGGACGCTTCATGGGAAGAGCCAAGATCCACTCGGTTGTTGGCGACCATATTCTTGACCCGACTGATGACGACAAGCAAATTCCCTCTTCCAGGCAGAGACCCGTTGAAGGTGAGGACTCTATCCGCGAGGTCTTCCTACCCATTGATCACAAGGATGGATCCAACCCTACTATTGAATTGGAGGACCCATACCCAGGTATCTTTATCTACCGATTCAGTGAAGGCTTCAACTACCCCAACGCAAACCACTACCTCGATCAGCTCACCGACACCATAATGTCAAAGACGCGCCGTACCAACCCAGCAATGTTCAGCAAACCGGGTGATCGCCCGTGGAACGATCCTGGTCCACGACGTGGCAAGGACTCTGAGCTGCAAGACAATCGACCAACGCTCAAGGCCATTATCCTCGACTTCTCATCGGTCAACAATGTCGATCTTACCGCGATACAAAACTTGATTGACGTCCGGAACCAGCTCGACAAGTACGCCGCCCCAGACACAGTCGACTGGCACTTTTGCAACATCAACAACCGCTGGACCAAGCGCTCTCTCGCCGCCGCCGGCTTCGGCTACTACACGCCGGACATTCCGGAAAGCGGCATCACACAGCGCTGGAAACCCATTTTCAGCGTCGCCGAAATCGGCGGCTCCGATTCCGCCGCAGCCGAAGCCGAAGCCCGCGAAAACCTCCGCGCACAACGCACCTTATCCCAAATCAAAAATCACGATATCGAGGCCGCACGCGCAGGCGAGTACTCGGGCAACAGCTCGGAAACCGGTAGCATCAACAAGCAGCTGGAGAAGAGCAAGGCGTATGGAACGACGAATGAGGCGCAGACGAGAAATAAGATTGCCGTTGTGCAGGGTCTCAATAGGCCGCTTTTCCATGTCGATGTTACGGCTGCGCTGAATAGTGCGCTGGCGAATGTGCAGAGGAAGAGTCATTGAGCGAGTCTCTCTGTTTTTTTTTCGTGCTTTGTTGTTGGTATGAAATGAGCGAATTTTTTATTTTTTTTGGTTGGTTGGTTGTCTTCTCAACTTTTTTTTTTCATGACGGGTTATGTAACGAGGGATTGCTATGGTATAGGACTTTGCATATGTGTGTAATGCTCGGCTTTTGTGAGTGAGAGAGAGAGAGAGAGAGAGAGAGAGAGCCTCAAGCTAGGGACATGGTTTAGGTTATATATACCGCTTTTCTTCTTCTTCTTCTTCTTCTTCTTCTTCTTCTTCTTCTTCTTCTTCTTCTTCTTCTTCTTCTTTTTCTTTGCATATATACCTCTGTTTTTGGTGGTTGTTGTTGTTTTTTTCATAGATGAACTTTGAATGATTGAATGGAATCAAATCAAGTCAAGTCAAGTCAAATTGATTGAAATCAATCATCATAATCACGTCAAGATGAAGACGACTTCACTTTTGTTATGTTTTTTGTTTTGTTGGTTTTTTTTTTGGGCGGGTGAAATGATAAAAGTACACAGTGGCAGTGGCAGTGGCAGTGACAGCGACAGTAATGCTGAATTTTTCATTTCAATCTAAATATCAAATCTATTTTCTTTTCCTATCTTTACTTTACTCTTTACTCTCTTGAACCACCGCCAAAAAAACAATCAAACAAAAAAAAACATCAACATTAATAACATGTTGTCCTTTTCTATTACCACGAATTACGCTCATCTCCCGCTGTGACTGCCGCCGCCGTCGCCGCCGTCGCCGGCCGTTGTCGTTCGCCGTGTATATACCCTTGAGAAGTTTTTTTTGGTTTTTTTTGTCTTGTTGATTTGTATACTTGAAAACACTTTTTTTTTGTTTTTTGGCATTACGCACTCAGGCTACCACTCTACTACTCTCTACGACTTTGTCTTGCCCAGTCCAATCCAGTCCAGTCCAGTCCATCTTGCATGCATGCATGAAACCCGAAACCCAAAACCCAAGTATCCATGTGTGAAAACCCAAAAAAAAAGCCCGAAAGAAAAAAGTCAAGAAAAAAAAAGAGAAGATGTAGAGTGAATCAATCCTGTTGCGGAAGAAGAAGAAGAAGAAGAAGAAGAAGAAGAGGGGGGGTTCCCAGCATTCAACGTCCAGGATCCTATGTAAGATGCAGTGAGGCGGAAGGAAGACGTCGAGGGTTGCTGGTAGCTGATAGACGCGAAGAAAGGGAGAGGAGAAGAAGAAGAGAGGAGGAGGAGGAAGGGAAGAGGAAGTATATATCCCACCACCATCGCCCATTACATGTTAATCCGTTTGCCCGTCTTCTTTTGGGAGTCGATATCGATACAGGCGTTGAATCGAGGTCGTTGTTGGCTTCTTCGGTGTCGGTGTAAATGTGGTGGCGATTACCTGCTACTACCTTGAAGGTTTGAGTGTACCTAGGATCAACTTCGTGCGGATGTCTGTTATGAACGCTTTAATACAGGCGTCTCTTAGATAACTTGGGCTGAAATTGGGATTGTTTTGTGCTTGGTGAAATAATTCAGCGCTGTAGTCGTCTTGTCCCTAACCTTTAGGTAGGTTAACCATGTCTAGCAAAGTGTCTCTTATAGTAGCGTTCTGCTAGGCACGCTGCTAAATGCTATGTGCTTCCTCGCTTGCTATAGCGCTGAGAGCAGCCGCGGTTGATTCTTCTAATACTTCTAGGGGTGCGCTTAATATTGTGGCCAGGTCCCTGCACTTTGCATGGTACAAGACTAAAGCCTTCTGCATCTTGCGGAGTTTCCTCTTGCCCTCTTTGTCCAAGTTTAGGAGTTGGTTCAAGTGGCGTTGTCGGTGTCGTGGAAGACAAGACAAGACCAAGGTGAGAGAAGACATGAGAGAGCGTGAGTGAGATGCGCGGCGACATGTATATATATATATATGTGTGTGTATTTGGATATATGTGGTGTATACCCCCGATGCCAGGTCCATGGTGCGCGGATCCGGATTGCGTGTATGCATGGTATATCGGGAAGGAGGTAAAAAAGGGAGAGAGAAAGAAGGTTTAGGATGGTTGTTTTTCTCGGTATATATGTGTATGTGATGAAAAGAAAAAAAAACCCTCTCTCCTCCTGCCATAAGAAAGCCGTTTCCGTGGCTCTGTGTACTCTGTATATCCGAGTTTGGGCTGGCGGTAGGATCATATTGGTTTTGCCTTCTTATTCCTCTTTTTTCCTCATCTTCTTCTTCCTATTTTACTCTCCTGGCATGGGTTTTTTGCGAAAAGGGCGGGAGGAGTGCGGTCGTCTTACACTTTTCGGGACGTACACCCCTCATTATATCTTCTGGCCAAGCCCAAGCCTAAACCTAAGCTAGGCTAGGCCAGACTATGTCGACGATGCGGGATTTCGAAGCAAATACATTAATTGTTGTATGCTTCGGGTGGTAGCGAGTTGCGGCTTTGAGCAAACAAGGCACCCGCTTGTTCAATGTTCCACTGACCGGCTTCCAGACACTGGATTGCGTAGTCGCGCGTGAGATTTGTTTCGCGTTGGACGTAGAGAATCATTTCTTCTCTTCGCTGCTGCTCTGCATCAGGCATGGCGGGCGTCGGTGTGTTGTTGGCATGTGGTGGTATTTGCTGTGCGTTTGCTGCTGCGGCTGCTGGTCCTGCGGGGCCGTCAGGGCGAACTTGGTTGCCGTTTAGGATTTTGAGCTTGGGAAACCAAGATATGATTTCCTCTTCCCAGTTTGGCGAGGGAAATGAGTCGATGATGAGGTGCTCGACGTTGCGGAAGCGGCCTTTCCATGGCTTGAGTGCGTCGAGCGTTGCAAAGGCGTTGTTGCTTAGGTCGAGGTTTTGGATGTGGCGGAAGTGGTTGCAGAGCTGGTAGACTGCGTGCGTGTTTTGCAGGTTGTTGCCAGAGAGCGTGACGCTGTGGATGGCTTGCTCTTTTGCTTCTTGTGTCTTCAGGATGGCGTCGCAGACAATCATGAGGGCCGGGAAAAACTTTTTTTGCGCTCCTTCGGTCGAAAACATGCCAGATTGCAGAATCTTTTGGTCGCTGATAATGGTCGAGAGGTTGAGTAGCTTGTTGGCGGCGTCATAGCGTCTCCCTAGGAAGCCTTCCATGAGCGGGTATGATGGATTTGTTTTAAGCTTCTCAATATCGATGGGCGGCTCTCGTGGGCGGTTATCGTATTGAAAGTGGTTCTGGCCGCCTCTGAAACCCCTGCCTCGTCCTCTTCCCCTGCCTCGCCCACGCGAGAAATCGCCATCAACCATCATCTGATCGCCGTCGTTGTGGTGTTGGTTGAAAGAGACGCTCCAGTTGCCACGTCCACGGCCGCGGCCGCGTGCTCGTCCTCTCGGCTGGTCGTTCATTGTTATTGCAGTGTTTTCAGCAGCGATTCCAGTGAGTATATGAGAGATGTGTGAGCAAGCAAGACAAATGAAACAGGCCCGTCTATAAAGGCTGACGGGCCGTGCGCCGCCAAGCCGCAATGATTCGTCTGTCTGCGACGCTTGTCATTGGCCAGCCCGTGCATCTTCCAACGTCGAACCACAGTTGACTGTGACTGTGACTGTGACTGTTTTCACTTCCATTTCCACAAATCACAACTATAGCTATTAGAACCGAGTGGTGGAAGCAAACATGTGTAATCTCTTGTCAAAGCAGCCAGGCAGCCAGGCAACCAATGGAGCCTAATGCATATGCCTTGGTGGTAATCCAGATAATCGTGTTGCTGTAATTAGCAACATATCCTGCACTTTAAGACAAGCCGATCCTCAACACTACGTAACAGTAATTTACCATTAAACACACAATAACTGTTTTTTCTTTCTTTTATGTAAGTTTTTCTCCGTTGAAAGCCAGATCTAGAAGATACCAGCCGTTCAGTGCTAAATACGCAAGATCTATTCCACTTCACAACCTAACCCGCCCCGCCATTCCCCCTTACGGACTTGGCTGAACCGCCATCCATCTAATTCCCTTTAAAAAGCCAAAATAGGACGCCATAAACTCCACCTCAGGCATTACACACATATGCAGCACGAATGTGGGTTCTGCCTTGGAGGTTTGACCCGACTACTCACCGTGACCATATCACTACTGCGAGTGTAGCTTCTTGATCTTGTTCACACCCTCATACAGAGCGCGGTCGACAGCCGCAGCAACGGTAAGCGTGCCGCCAATAATGGCGCAGATGCCAACAAGGAAGCCAGAGAAAGTCTTTTCGCGGACTTCGCGGCTAATGACCCTCATGGGTGAAATGTCCTGCCGATGCGTTAGTCAGGTTGTCTCACTTGGTATCGGCACAACTTACGTAAGAGAAGAAGACACCCGGGATGCCACCGCGGGCGTGAATCCTTTCCTTGTGTCCGTCCTTTTCATCATTGCCGCCCTGCAGGCTTCGCTTGTGGCTAGTCACAGAGTACTGATGTGTCTCTATGCTACCCCTGTATGAAGGATCGTAGCCAGCACCAAGAAAGTCCTCATGCAGGGTAGAACGAGGAACAGTATGCCAGTTGAGGGGCAGGTAGAGAGTCGGGACAACCTTGATAAAGTACATAAAGTTAAAGGCCTTTTCGTCAGTGCTTTGCGTGGTATGGTCAAGAGGGTTGATGTGGTGGTTTGACCAACGGCCAGGGCCAGAGGCCATGTGGGCCTTCTGAATATCCCTGATGGTTTCATCGGGGAGCTGAGGGCCGAAGCGGAGCAGATGGATGTTGTGCGTAAAAGTATGCGAGTAACTATCGCTGAAGTAGTTGTCCAGGTCGTGTACGTGGAGGTTGCCGTTTGAGAAAGACTTTCCGGGTGCGAAGTGGAAGTTTCCAATCACCTTGTTGACACGGATGCTACCCTCAAGACGACATCCCTCCTGGCGCTGTTCGTCGAGGTGCTCTGCATAGTGCTCCCGCTCGCATTGTTCGACACCTTCTCCGCGACCAAATGACCACGAGACAGAGGCATAGGCTTCGCGCACTTCGTCGCAGGTGTTGCAGCAGCCAGCCTTTTTTGCGTTGGGCGGGTGAGGAGCGCCATAGCATTCTCCGCAGTAGTCGGGCGCCAGGTGTGTTGCTTCGTCGGCATGCCTGCAAGCGCCGTTAGCATCGTCTTCTCTGCTCCGGACTCGAACCGGGTATACTTACAGATCCAAGGCCTTGACCTCAATGACCTTGCTACCCTCTGCCTCTGGGCTCAATCGCACCTTGTTGATACCGTGTGTCACGCCCATCTGCAGTTCTCCGGACACGTCCATGACATCGAGCGTGAGCAATTCGCACGGTACCCGTGGGAACGATATGTTGAGCGCAATCTCCATGCGCTCGCCTCTTCCCTTGTCCACGATCAATTCGGGCCGGACAGTGACTTTCTTGTAGTCGACCCACTCGCCCCACGATAACCAGAGGATAATGAGCAGACTGGCGATTGTGACGATTCCGCCAGATGTTGTACGTATGCGCGCATCTTCGACCGTCTTGGTAAAGGCGTCGAGCCTATTAAATCGCGATTTGACGGGCATGATGGCGGCTTGCCAGTGAGGGGCAGTCGTGGGTGTTGAGGTTCCGGACAACGGGTTCGAGGGAAAGGATGGTACCCTATGGGGTCTGGTGGTCTAGGGAGTAGCCGTGCTTTGAACGTCGGACCACTTGACTGGTACGAGATGCAAAGGCAATCTGACGTTGCACAATGAATTGAAAAGGGGCAAAAGAATGAAAATCAGCACAGCTTGTGCCAAAGCCGCAAGGTCATTGTACAGGAAGGAGAAATGGGTAAGCAAGTCAGCGCGTAGACGTTGCGACAATGCGGCGAGCACTAAAGGACAGCTATGCGACTGGATGCTAGCTCCGCTCGGAGCAGCCGCGCTAGCGTCCATTCGGCAGGCGCGCCCCAGACCATGTGGCGGTGCAATACGCCACCGTGTACGAGCACTTGGACGTCGTGTACATGCATTAAACATCATAGTAAAATTAATCTATCGGGTATTTGGAAAGTTACGATTCGATGCTCGGAAGCTGCGGGGGCATACAGAGAGAGAGACGACAATCATGGCCATGTCTCCCAACCAGCTGCAATCGGCTTAGGATGCAAGCACATTGCGGAGCATAATGTTGAACCCGTCGTTGAGCTTGTACAGCTCCTCGATATGCGGCTTCTTGGGCTCACCTGCCTTCCTCCGTAGCTTCTCTGCGGCCCGGGCTCTACTCTTGCGCTCTGCTTCAATTGGATCGGCAACGTCTGCGTCATCCATGTCTTCTGATTCGGTGGAATCGGTGCTATTATCGTCAAGTTCCAGGTCCTGGAGATCCATCTGCAGATACGTCAGTGTGCAAGCACAGGCACGGAGGTTGGGGTGAAGACAAACCGCGTTGAGACCAAAGTCGCTCGACTTGAAGCCAGCAATGCCACCACCCATGAGTGGATCTGGCTCATCCCCGCTCGCCATCTTCTGCCGCGTCTTGTCTTGGTGCCACTTCTTCCTAGCCATCTGCCACTTGATCAGGCTATTAATTTCACGGATGGCCTTGTCCTTGTCGATCAACTTGGAGTCCATGGCGCCCTGAAACAGTGCATTCATATCCAGCTTGCCACCATTCTTTGGGCCATGGCGCAAAAAGTCTAGAATGCCTTCTAGCCAGCCCATGAGTTGGTCAAAAAGACCATTGTCGTGCTTGTGTACTTCATGAACGAACTTGTAAAAGTTGTCTTCGTGACGGGCACACAAGTCGATAAAGGCCTGGACGGTTTGGTTAGGGTCAGCAGAGACTTCTTGTCGTTGGCAGGCTTCAATTGTCTTTATGGTGTCGTCGGCGAACATGGCAAAGTCAGTAATACTATTGTAGACATTGGCAGACTTGTACACGCGAACCAGGGGTTCGTAGAAAATGGTGAAGAGGTCTCTGAACAGCTGCAGTGTCGTGGGCTAGAATTGGTCAGTCAATGGACTGCTTTTGAAACCATTGCGTTGGGTTAGCTTACCTCCTCGATGATCTGAAGCATCATGAGCTTGTCTCGTTGTCGGAGACAGAGTTTCAAGTACTGCTTCAAGTGAGCGAAGAGCTCGGCTCCTGCGCGCATTTCCTTTTCGACCTGGTCGGCCGCGTTAGTAGATGTGCTGATGTTACTGTGCCGGCTCGTTGTTCGGCTGAGGCGTGTCGATCTCACATTTTCCACGGCGTTGGTCCAGGCAACATAGGCATTGAACACCTTCTCCACTTGCGGCGGGCTCAGCTCCGGCTCAAAGTACTCGGATCGCAATATCGTCACCACGATGTCCACATTGTCCTGTGCGGCTTCGTGGCGGATGGTGTCCTTGACAGCCTCGTCCGACTCTACATATGCTTTGATCTTGTTGCAGAGCACTTCGTCTTTGATCCGTGTCGACGAAAGAGTGTTGATCGTCTTTTGCACAGAGTTGACACCGTCATTGATTGCCATGCCAAATATGCGCTGCAGAAGCGATCGAGCGCCAAAGGGCTGTGCGAGGAAAAGATCCAGAACTCCGCTCATGACGGCTGCAGGGTTGGCAATGCGTATGACGTTTTTCAGCACACCGTATGGCACGAGGGAATGGATGCGTTTGGCCTGTGCAAAAAGCTCTGGTGAGTTGTCTTCTGCCAGGAAGAGGTGGTAGAGCGTTGCAGCAACTTCTATCCGTAGCCACTCGGCAAACTTTTGATACTCGGGCTTGAGTTCCCTGATACTGTTCTTGATCCTAACCTCCTGGAATAAATGAGATAGGCCATTGCTCTCTACTATTTCTCGTCTGAACTTCTCCATGTGGATGTCAAGCTCTGCTGCTCGTTGCCGCGCAACTTCGTAGAATTGCTTCTGCTCTTCTATGCGCCTCTTGTCCATTTCTTCGCGTCTCTGGATGTCTTCCATTTCTTCCTCGTTGATCTCAATGGGGTCATGTGTAAGGAACTCGGCCATGGCATTCGAGTGTGCGATTCGCTCATTGTGAAGGAACGCGCGGAGGAATGCGCGAAGGGAAACTCGCTGCTCTTCCCGGTATAGCCTGCGCGGAGGCTTGTATGACGAGTAGTCTGCCGAAGCCCTTGGCGAGCGCTTTCCCAGCGAGGTTTGCGATGCGTTCTTCTTGTGCCCGCCGCCGAAAATGTAGCTTCGAAGGCCGCCGCCGCCTCCGCCGCCGCCGCTGCCTCCGCCACTATTCTCGTTAGTCTCAGGATAGGGTCCTTGTGTAGACTCGGACGAGATGGAGCTAACATCGTCGTCATCAGCGCTCGATTTCAGGACTCCATCTTTTGCGTTCTTTCGGGGTAGCGGGGCAAGAACCTTGCCCGGAAGCTCGAGGCGGATGCGCTTGTGCAACTGAACAAAATCGGCATATCGACGGCCAATGTAGATGTCCTGGCCGTCGCCTTGCTTGACACGGATAATGTACTCCTGCGGTTTCGCCATCAGACTCTTGTTCTTTGAAGCATACATACTCACTCACTGCATGTGTATGGTAGCGGAGGTGCCGTTTCACCGATGTGGTCCTGACACCGGCAATGTTGACGTCCCAGCCGTTGATGGAATGGCCGCTGGGTGCATTCATTGTGAGGCCCTTCTCGTTGGCCTGCCGGTCTACAATTTCCATCTCTGCAAAGCGTATCCTCTCCTCGTAGCCGGACGCGGTCGGGATGCCGGAAACCATCATGAGTTCGACCAGCTTCTCGGCCTTGAGCGCCAGCTTCCGCCGCTTTGTCTCCTCCAGCCGGTCTTCTGACGACGAGATGTCCTTGCTCGCAAAGGACTCCAAAAACTATAGTAGCACCGCTGTCAGCCCCGTCTCCAGCCGCTGTGGAGGCATGCAACGTACCACTTGGAGTTTGTCCTGCCAGAACTCCTTCTCCTTGGCCTTGTCGAGGAAGGGGAAGTTTCGCACATGGTTGACGAATATGAAGCGGAGCAGGGGCAGCTCTGAGTCTTCGGGCGCAACCTCACCAGCGTCCGAGTGGAAGGGTGCGCCGAAGCGCCTCAGAGCCGTGGGCGACGAGAGTTCAGAGATTTCGTACTTTGTCTGGCGCGAAATGAGTTCCCGCTTGAGGTCTGCGCGGGGGGGTTAGTGGGTGGCACGGGGCGTGGGCTGCGGGCGCCTACAGTGCTCCTGCTTGCCCGTCAGGACGGAGCCGTCTGGCGGCACCGACGAGACGGAGTATTTGGAGTAGCTGGTGTCATTGCGGGTGAGCGACGCTGGGCGGACGGGCGCGCTGAGGAGGCGGGCGGGCGGGCGGTCAGAAGCCATGGTGGTGGGCTCTGTTGCGCCGTTGAGCTGGAGGGCGGGCGGGGTGTGGGCATTGGAGGGCATGGTGGGAATTAAAAGTACTAGGACGGTCAAGGGCAGGGCAGGGCAGGCTGGGGGACGGCGCTGCGGGCCAAAAGAAGGAAGGGGCAGGGCAGGCGGGCAGGCAGGCAGGCAGCGGGTGTATTAAGTATGGCGGGCAGTCGACGCGTGTTTATGACGGCGCCGTGGCCGGGCGTGTGTAGACTAGATATGTAGGGGCTGTGGCTGCGCCTGAGGCTGGTGCTGGTGCGCGTGTGGAGAGGAAGGCGGGCGGCGGGCGCTGGGCCGGGCTGGTGCAAACCATTGTGGCTGAGTGACGCAATCCCCGCCCGCACGCCTGGCTGACGTACTCTGCCCGGCCGTACGACCCGCTGCGCCGAGCTTCCACGGGCTCCGGCCCAGCCCAACCCCCATCGGACGCCTTGGCTGCTCAACCACCACGCCCGCCAGCACCACGCCCACGCCCACGCCCACCACGACGAACAGCTGCATCTCCAGCCACTGTCCCCCCCCCATCGCTGCTCCCCTCTCACCACCACGCCCCCATCCGCACACGTGTCGTCTACTTGCTTAGCCCGCCGAGCTGACACAACCCGGCCATGTGCCGAACGCTGCATTGACCGAGCCAGACGCGCCCTGGGTGTCAGCAAGCGAGCCACGCCCGTCGCTTAGCCCTTCATTCTCTGCACCCCATCATGACATCGCGCCCCCAGCCAAGACATCCGACTCCCCCAAGCCTGTGCCTGCGGTGCCTGCTTTGCCCGCCTCCATGATGCCCAACCCAGTCACGCTGCACACGACTCTCTCGCCCGTCGCCATCAGTCTGCACACGGCCTTGCTTACCACTACCCGCTACATGTACATGATACAGCCCCCTGGGGCCCATGGGTCCAAAGTCACAAAACACGATGCCATATCCTCACGACGCCATCCACTACCTTTCCCAAACAAACTACAAACGCAGTCGCACGCTGCCCTAAGTGAATCATGTAACAAAACAAAACAAACCCCCCCCCTTCCAACAACGCCAACCCTGCTGCCATCTTGGCCCATGTCGGCCAAAACCCCCCCGACCCCTTATTTGCACCCTCTCTCAGTAGTTGAGCTCACCGCCCCCACCCCCGCCCACCGCATCCAGATCCTCGTAGCTCTTGATAGACCGACCTTGCACAGACTGCACAGGTCCTGGCCCTCCCTCACCGTACCGCTGCGGCCCCTGGCGACCTCCACGCGGCGGAGTAAGACGTCCGCCATTGACACTGGGCCGACTGCGCCCATCTCGCGCCTGTCGGTCATAAGGCCCAGCCCGGTTGTTGAAGCGATGTCCACCCCGTCGCATCGGCCCAGCCCGATCATCGTGAGCACCCGCCGGGTCCCACGTCCCGCCCATGGCAGGGTTGAACATGCCGCCCATGTGCACCCCGTTCTGCATGCCGTTTCCTACCATGGCCATGCTCATGTTGGCCAGGTTGAAGCCGCGCGGTGTTCCCGTCGCCTGCACATGGTTGCCCATGGGGAAGTGCCCGTTGCTATTGGCATCACTGCGCGACGGTGCAATGTGCGCAGGGTCAAGTACGTAGCTGTTGACAAGACGCAGCTGTCTCTAGTTAGCAAATTTCTCTTGCCCACCCCATCCCAGTACTCACATCTTTCTGCAGCTGCTCCAGCCACTCGGGGTGGCGCTTCTCAATATGCTTGCGCCAAAAATGCTCGCCCTTGAAGAGCTTGGTGCACTCGGGCACCTTGCAACGCCATTTGGACTCGTCTTCTTGCTTGACGTATCGAGCAAGCTCGTCTTCCAGCGCTTCGTCTAGCGGCTTGCCGCCCAGCTTCCGGATGTCCACGTTCTCAGGCTCCAGCAGCTGCAGGAGCTTTTCCTCGTACGTCTTGACCCAGTTGAAGGCTCGCTGAAGCTGCTGCTGGTTCTTCGTGCTCAGCCGCATTGGTTTCCGCTCTTGAACTGGACTTCCATTTTCTCCGTTTTCAGCCTCGGCCGAAGACTCTTGCTTTCGGTAAGGGAACGGCTCTCCAGATGCTGTAGCTCGTGCCGTCGCCTTGGCAGCTGTCGTAAGGCTGGCACGCGGTCGGCGGAGATGTCCTCCTGCGCACTTGCGAATCAACTCATGCACAGAGTCGCTCTCGAAAACGCAGAAGAAGCAGAAATTGTACACCCGTCGCAGATATTCAATCAGGAGGTCGAGCTTCTTCTTCTTCACCAGCAAATCTTCATCATCCACTTCGTCGTCAAAGGCGCCCTCCTCATCTTCCATGGTTTCATCTTCACCCTCTTCCAGGTCATCCGTGTCTCGCTCCTTCTTGATAGGCGCCGGCGCGTTCGCTGGCGGCTGGAGCCAGCCTTTGACACGCAGATCCTCGACCCGCTGCTCAATCTTGCTGACGCCGTCGACGTTTGAGAAGTCGTCTTCGTGGCCGGCCTTGAGCTCCGAATCGAGCTTGTGGACAAGTCGTTCGGCAAGCTCAAGATCACGCTCGATTCTCTCGGGCGCAGAGAAGAGGTCCCAGAGCGCCTTCTTGCGTGGAGCAGCAGGCGGCTCGTGGATGCCCACGTGGCACGTAAAGTTGCCGCGTACCTCATCGTTGACCGTCTTTCCGTTGAGCGCTTCGAGAGCCTTGTGCGCAGTACTCTGAGGCGTCACATGAACATCGGGCTTCTCTTCCATGACGCCTTCTTCGCCGTCAACGTCACGTCCATCGCCACGATCGTCAATAATCATTGGCTGCTCGTCGCTTGGGTTCAGAATCACCCAGCCAATGCGGTGGCACTTTTTGAGGGGATTCGGGTCGCTCATGCTCAGCCACTTGAAGCCGCCAGGGCCTTCTCCCAAGTGCTCTTTGCAGAACTCTTCAACCTTTTCGCGATTGACAGTCGGCGCAATCGTCTTGATGAGTAGTGTCGGCTGGAACGCAGTCTCATCGCGAATCTCGCCACCCTTGCAAGGCAGAAGATCACCTACACCCAAGACTTCGTTGGCAGCAGTCGTTTCTCCCTCTTCCTTCTCGACAATGCCGCCAGCTCCGTTCGAGTCGTTCTTGTAGATGCCCTCGAGCGTGAACTCGTCAAAGTAACCTTCGTCAATCTGACGCTCCCACTCCTCGTAGATGCCATGGCGGTACTGACGGAGCTTCTCCTTGAAGGCCAAGTCGTAGTCTGGGTCATATCGCTCCTTGAACCACTCTTCATTCTTGTGCTTGTCTACGAACGTCTTGGCCATTTGCACCTGCAGCTTTTCCTTGTACTCGTCGTATGCAGCCTGGATCTGTTCGCGCTCCTTGCCGCGTTCCTCGCGGGCTTCACGCTCGCCTTTGAGACCGGGTTTGCGACCGCCGTTCTTGGCGCGCTCCTTCTCTTCCTTCATGAGTTGCTCCACGCGCCACCACTCGGCAAAATAGTTGAAGCCCACCTGGTACTCGAGGTGCATCGGGTTTGGAACTGGGTTCGTCGTAAAGGTTGGCGCAAAATTGTCCTGGCCAGGCACGTATCGGTCGATTCCAGCCTGTATTGGCGGGGGAGAAGAGCGGCGCCTGGTGCCATCACGACGGGGTCCATCGTAATCACGGGCTCGGTCGGGCTGGTAGCGGTCGATATTCTGGGGTGAACGCGATCGCCGCCTGCTAGTTCGGCGGTCTCCAGCGCCTTCAGGAGACATGTTAGCTGCGTGTGCCCGAGAGGGGATAGTGTTGTCTGGTTTCAGCAGGTTAGGAAAACGCGGCGCCCAAGACGAGCGGTGCGCGAATCCAGAGCGCTCAAGTTCAAAACAGGGCTCCAGCACTTACCCGGTGAGCGGCGTCTGTAGGTGTCGGCGGGCGGCCTAGAATCTTCGCGGGTGCTACTGCCAGCTGTCAGCATCGCTGGTTGTGCAACGAGTCATGCAAAGACTTACGTGTATGAATCCATTGTCGCAAATACGTGCGGCTGGACAGTCTTGAGCCGTGATGCGTGTCTAGGGTCACGGGGCTAAAGCTAGGCGTGGTCAGGTCGTCGGCAAGGCGCGCGGTCAAGCGACCATGGACACAAGACGCGTGCGACTTGCTCTCTCGAACGCGCAATCTCGCCTGGAGAATGCGATGGCGGGAGTCGAATCACGCTCGGCAGGCAAGCGGGCGGAGTAGCTGTTTGCCATGACGGCGCGGTCAGAGAGGGGACAAATAAGAGAGAGACAAGACGACGGGGAAAGGGCGCGACGAGTAACGAGGAAGAAGAGGTATCAGAGAAGTGACAAGAGAACGCCGCGCCCGTTGCGATTGGTCGCAGACGGGCAGCAGCGCACGAAGAGAAGGTCAGAGAGGAGAGGCTGGACAAGGGAGGCCGGGGCGCAGGGCCACGGAGACAAAGCTGTAGGAGAGCTATGGAGATAGCTGTACAAGAGGAACGGAGGGGTACGAACAATTGGGGGGGCAGGCAAAGGACGAGAAGCTGGTGCACTCACGATGTGCCAAAGTGACTCGCAGGCGGGAAAAGACGCCTGTGGAGATGGAGATGGCAGAAGGAAGGGTGAGGTTGGTCGCGGGCGGGCTGGAGAAGCCCGAGGCCGGGCTGAGACGGGGCTAGCGCTGCACGGGTGCGCGGAAAGTGGGCCGGCCGTGAACGCGTGCGCTCGTGAGAGGCCGAGGCCGCTGATTGGCTGGCCCGCTGCCGCTGCCGCCATGCGTCTGTGTGTGCGCACATTATCACGAGATGCGGAGTGCAGACGACTTTTCCTTTTTGCAGGGCCCTCTGAATCTCTCCCCCCAGCGCCATTGCATCCGCTACGCAGGAACACGCTGATCGCTGCAGCCCGCCATGACGACCTACATCCCCTCACTGACCCTCCCCAGCGTTGTGTTTGAGAACCCGGCCGTGGCCATTCTGCTGCCCGTGGTATGTGGAACAGCCACCGGCTTTGCCATTAGTCGTAAGTCCCGAGTCGCAATCAAAAAAACCGCCGCAGCTGTGTGTGACGACGCCTAATTCACTCACGTGTAGCAAGCGCATCTCAGACTGCATACCGCACCCTGAAGCAGCCCCCGCTGCACCCCCCGGGCTACGTCTTCGGCCCAGTATGGACAGCTCTCTATGCCACCATGGGCTACACAGCCTACCGCGCATACACCACCGGCACGTCCTCGTTTGACCCCAACATGGCCGCTCTGGCAAAGGTATGTCACTGTTGAGACACGCATGTGGCCGCCCAGTCTCACGCAATGCAGCATGGAGCAACCCTCTACTCGATCCAGCTTGCCTTGAACCTCGCGTGGACTCCTCTATATTTTGGCCTCGGACAGCCCATTGCCGCTTCAGCGGACATCCTTGCCCTGGGCGGTACGCTCGCCTATCTCGTCAAGGTATGGGGCGAGGTCGATCCCATCTGCGGATGGCTGCTTGCGCCGTATCTGGGCTGGGTCAGCTTCGCGACCTACCTATGTGTAAGCACCCCTGCCAGCTGGTATGCTTGTACGCTTTGAAACTAACACGGCCATCAGATCGGCTCTGGCTACTTGAACAACTGGGACTTCAACGCTATTACCAAAAAGGACTAAGAGAAGGAATACATTGAGTAAACTAGAGAATGTTGTATTATTAACTATACGCATGCCGCAACTGGGGGGTATCATGAAGCTCATTACCATTTTGGGCGTATCCTATCATGACACTCTCCACTTTTGGCTGCGTAGTCAAAAGCGACTGTCTCGCCACATCACCAGTTGTGTGTGCGTTTCCAAAATGTATGGTGCACATACGCATTCGGTTTCATCTTATACGTGCTCAGAGAAGGCGGCATGACGTGGCAGCATAGCTGTCGCTTTGTCGAAGAAGCCTTGGCGCACATAGACCTGCAATCCGTCCGTCCCGTGACCCACGTGTTGTTGCATTACTATCTTATCAAAATAAACATAACCTATTTTTAGGGCCGGCCCCTGAGTTTACGGAACGCGGTAGAATAATGCCCATAACAATTTCACCAGCCCCTCCCAAAACTCACCTGTCGCAGCGATTATAAGGAAAAAAAACCATGCCTCCCGATTGGGCCTTTTCCAATAATAGTAGCACGTGCAGCCTCGCTCCCGGATCGCACCAGTCAAAAACAATGGACCCTTTACACCGATTAACGCGCCGCCTGTCTAAACTGTCATCCGCAGGCACAAGCGCCAATGGCCAGTACAAACATGATAGTGGTAGTGGTAGTGGTGATGCGATTCATGCAGCAGCAACGGTGCAAGACGTAATGTAAGCGCGTGTTTTGTTCCTCACGCCCTTCACCCACCCACGGCACTTACCCCCAATCCAGCACCACAAGCAACGAGCAGAATTCGCAGTTTCTGCGTCTTCCCGCGCACCTCCGCCAGCTAATCTACCAGTACGTCCTCGGCGGCGTGCGGATCCGTGTCTGCGACACGCACAACTGCCGGCGACGCCACAAATGCCGCAACAGAGGCCGGAAACTGCACTACGCCACCTACTTCCACCTGCGCAGACGCCATGTCGCGCTGCTGTCGACGTGCCGCCAGGTCCACGCCGAGGCCCGGCTGCTGCCGTTTTCGCTGAATGAGTTCCACGGAGACCACTGGGACGTGCAGCTCGCAGTCTACTACCGGTTGACCGACGCCCAGGTCGGCGCCATGACGACCCTCAGAGTCTACTTCAAGTACGGCGATGTCGTGTACTATCCCGCGCTTGGCCCGAGCAACTCGAGCCTGAGTCTGGGTCAAGATGCGCTTGCTACGCTGCGCGTTCTCGGCCACCTGCGCAGCCTGCGTACCATCATCGTCGAGTGGGTCGGCTACCATGACTGGGCACACGACTGGCCCATGGTGCAGCGGAGCATGGCTTTCCTCGTGTTCGAAGAGCTGCAGCGCGTCAGGCGCGGTGCCGATATCGAGGTTCAAGTCACCGAGTGCAGTGTCGTTGCCGACTCGGACATTAGTACCGAAACCACAGTGCAGAATAAGCAGCGGCTTGTTTCGTTTATGTTGTAGCTTTTGCATTTATCTGGAGTTCTTAACCGTGGGATTTAATGGGATAATACTTTTTTTAGAGGGATATTACGAATGCATGGGCAATTGGAGGATTGAAAGTCACCTGTACAAAAGGTCGATGCAACGAAATATACGTATATCTACGGTGTCCAGCCGTAGGATTTAGAGATTGAGCTGTTTCCTCTGCGATCAGATATGCATTCTAGTGATATTGAGTCGGTAACAGCACCAACCCCCTTTTTCACTGGAGACTAATGTGCAATACTGAAAAGGCAGTAAAAATTACTATAACAAAAAGACAGGACCTGCAAACACATGAGTCAAGTAGTCAAAAGACTTCACCTACACACTTGAAGTAGTATTTTCCTGTGCAATCCACCGCGTTGCTCTTATTAAAACCACTTCTACACGTCAAACCGCTCTATTTCAACCCCAACCCTATACATTAATCCCACGCAAACAAACAAACTATAGGTCCATAGCAAGTCCTGACTTTGAATATCGCACTCAACACTGTAATACAGCTAGAAAGCCAGAAAACACGAGCACAAGACCAAGAGGATAGAGTCTCTAGAGTCTTTGACAGAAGCAGCTTCGGTTAGTAACAAAGGCTACAAATAAATGCTATCAGCGGGGAAGGAATTGAAAATGCCAGAGTGGGGAAAACTAGATTTAGGGATGCAAGTATGCGACACATGGTCACTTATGAAGTGATTTGCTTGCTTGTTTGCTGGCTTGGGAGGAAGTAAGTATGTAGGTATGCAAGTCCAGTCCGGACAGGGGGAACACAGGATATCACGAGCACAAACAAGGTAGCACAAGCACAGATTGTAAACGGCAATAATATGCAAGAAAACAAGTTCGATATCTCCATTTTTTCTTTCTTTCTTTCTTTCTTTCTTTCTTTCTTGTCTGGGTTCAAAAACACGGACAGCGGGTATATACAGGAAAGAAAAAAATAGAAAAGGAGAAAGCAAAAAGCCGTTGAAAGGCGAAAAAAAAGACTAAGCCTAGCCACACGCGCCGATGAACCCCCCAATGAACCAACCCAATCATGAAGCATTACAAGGCGTATCCTCTCTGTATTGACAAAAAAAGAGCCCAGAAGAGAGAAAAGGAAAAAAGAGAAAAAGAAAACGGTGCGCCGAGATTTAGGAAAAGAGAAGAAACAGGAATGAGATGAGGTGACGCTTGAACGCATGCAAAGAAGCGGTTTTTCGCGAAGAGGAGGAGGAGGAGGAGGAGGGGGGGAAGAAGAAGTAGTAGTAGGTAGGGTACAAAGAAAACAAAAAAACTACTTTTGGTATGTAGTAGTGGTAGTAGTAGTATGGACCACTAGTAGAGAGAGAAAGAGAACGAGAGCGCCAAAAGCACCAGACCAGTCATTATCATAAGCAAAGCAAAAGAAACAAGCTGAAAAGATCCCTCTTCATCTTGAAGTTCTTTTTTTTGTTTCTTGCTTTGTTTGTCCCCCCCTCTCTTGTTTTCTCCACACTGGAAATATGGGAGAGGAGAAAAAAAAACACGTCTTTGGAACAAAGGAAAAAAGAGATCCAGTGGTTCAAGGAATGCAGGGATGAAGAGGATCTAGACGTAAAAAAGAAGTGAGCGGATAAGAAATTGAGCAGAGCTAGTAGTGAACATGATACCAATCATTCACTTTCCAGCAACTGCCGTATCTTGTCGTAGAAACTGGCTGGGTACTGGCGAATCTCGTCGTCGGTGGGAGCGGGTTTATTGGGGTCTCTGAAGCGGTCCGCGACTCGCTGGATGATCTGACCGAGCAGCTCCTGGGGGATCTTGAGGTCGTCGCCGCCGTCCGGGTAGAGGAAAGCGTCTCGTTCGTCGAGGAGCTGTGAAATGGTTGGGCGGCGCGAGGGATCGCGGTTCAAGCAGCGGCGCATCGTGGCCTTGAGACCCGGCGGGACGCGCACGTCGCCGACACCCAGATCGGGGAATTCGATCTTGTAGTCGCGGTTCACAATGGCGAGCACGCGCGCCATTTGATTCGCAATGTGGGCAAAGGGCGGCCGCCCGTACACCATTTGGTACAGGATGCAGCCCAGACTCCACACGTCGGACGGCTTGCCGAGAGCCATGTCTTTTGAGCCGTTGCCGTTGCTGAGGAGTCCTCGAGCTCCACCAGCAGAGTCTTCAAGCGACTCGGGAGACATGTAATTGGGGGTGCCAATGTGCGAGTCGCGGTGCACATTAACAGTGTGGTCAACTTCAATAGCATTGGCAATGCCAAAGTCGATGAGTTTTAGGCGGCCAGAGGTAAGGAGGAAGTTTGCAGGTTTGAGGTCCGAGTGCACAATGTCGTGGTCGTGGACTGCGCCGACGCATTCAAGCATTTCTTTCCAGTAGTAGCGTGTGAAGCTGAGGTCGAGTTTACCGTCGCCGTCAGCAGGATCAAGCTTCATTCGTATTATGCGAGCCAGGTCAGATTCTCCGAGTTCCATGAGCTAGGAGGTATTAGCGATAAACTTTGAATCCGAAAAAGCCACCTACCACACTGAGCACCTGGCGCTGCTCGTCCACTTCCCAGTCGTACAGTCGTACAACTCTGTCTACATTCTTGAGCTTTTGCAGCAAATCAATTTCGCCCTTGAAACCTCGCACAGCAGCCTCGTCAGCATCTTCGAGCTTGACTCGCTTCAGAGCCAACGTCTTGAAGTTCTCTGCCATGACACGGTAGACGGCCGAGCTGCCACCTCTGCCTATCCGGTCCATCTGCGAGTAGTGCTTTCCATTGACTGATAATGTGCTTCTCTTCTTCCTCTCTCGCGTCTTGGTGGTGGCAGCTCCAGCAGCTGCAGTTGCAGTCTCTAGTACAGACATCTTTGGCGGTGGAGGCGGCGCTGGTCGTCGAGGGGTATTTGCGCTCAATGACTGTAGTGGCATGGGCTTTTCTTGTTGCGAAGATCGCTGTATGGGCGACTGGTGCTCTGGAGGGGATTGCATGTGGCGGTCTTCTGCGACCTTCATGACAGAGCCCGTGACTTTCAAGACCGAGTCGGGGACGTTCTCAGGCTGTGCTTTGATAGCTGAGGCGGGCATGTTCTCCTGGTCCTGAGAAGGAGCATTCTCCTCTTCGCTCTGGGGGGTCCTGCGCAACCTCCTCATGGGTGCGCCGCGGAGGGGAACTCGTTTTATCCGCAGGCTTGGTGCAGGTGTGACAGAGTCTTGCACGGGTGTGTTGGAGCCCGAATCATTGCGCGAGATCTTGAGCTTGGGTTTTCTCTTCTCAGGCGAGTCGACCTCGTTGCCTTGGGCGAGGAGAGCTGCCGTCAAAGCGCTGAGCTTCATGGGCTGCGGCATCTCGTCGTCCGAGCTGTCGCCAATGTCGATGTTCTGCATCATGGGCGCATCGGCCGAAAAGCCCTGCGATTGACCCAGCACAGAGAGGGGAGAGTCTCGTCGGGGTCGTATGGATGATTGTGCGCGCATGCGCCCGTACGAAGAGCCGCCAAGCGGCGTGGGAGAACCGGTAGCCATTCGAGTGTTGCGACGGGGTAGGATGCGCGCGTCGCTATAAGGGTGTGTGGCGGGTTATGTGGATAGCGATTGGAAGCTGTAGTGTTAGTTGCGCATACATAAGGCCCGGGAGGGTAGGCGGCTGTTCGTCGTAGAGATGTTGGTGGTGGTGGTTGAGTTTGGACGTTGACATTCATGGCGCGCGCAGGCCAATCCTGGCTCTCGCGTGGGCCCGTTGCCGGGCAACGCAACGTCGCCGTAAACAAAGACGACCAAAAGATCTAGTGTGTGAACTAGTGGGATGAGCTGGTCAGATCTACACCGCTGTGTCTGCACTTGGGGTTAGAAGAGCCCGTCACAAACACAGTATTCTCAATGTCTTACGAGGGCCTTGGGCGGCCGCGAACGCCTTCAGGGCAATACCCGACTTGAACTAGCCATGGGCAGGGATATCGATAATGCTTGCTCCGTATGCGTGTAGCAGATCTTCCGTCATGCTGTGGTGGGCCTATGAGGTGCAAGACGAGAGCGTTATGCGCCTCGCCGTGTCGCTGTCCGGTTACTTTTGTCGTAAACACTTGTATGTATTGCTATCGCTACATCTACCGCATTCGTATATCATATTGCTTTTACTCTAGCATCCATGTCCTCTTTGCTCCAACAAACAACTCTATAGAAACAAATACCATGACAAAACAGGTGCAGACAACGACCCAATCATCTATGCCGGGTTGAGAGGCTTGGTGTAAGATACTGCGTAGCTCGAGCATCCAATCAAGTCACGCCTCTTGAGTGTTTATGCAATCAGGTTCCGATCCCAGTTGTGAGCCTTCTCCCAAACGCCATCGCCTCATGCAGCCAAACAAGACGTCTTACGAATGATCACAGCTTTGCCTGTGGAGGTGCATCCTCGAGCACCACAGCTACCACGGCGGCAATATCGTCGGGTTTGCCGCCATGCCAGTTCTCGCCCGGGTAGTATCGCTGCACCTCCTTCGCAAAGGGCCCGTCCCGGCGCGTGTTGAGCCCCGTGACCTTGGCCTCCTTTGCAATGGCGACTGCGACCTTTGCTTGGAGAGACGAGCTGTCCGCCTTGCGGGCCGAGCCAGCTTGGACCAGGTTGGCGAGATTGTCGGCCACAACCATGGTGCCGTCCTTCTCGACCCAGGCGCCTACGTCGACCATGGTGCGGCTGACGATGCCCAGCACATCCTGCGGGCTGAGGTTATCCCACACACCATCGGTTGCAAAGACGAGCACGTCGCCATGTCGCACTTTGTGATGGGTTACACTCGACTCCTTTGGTAGGTCCGAGAGCGTCGAGGGGCCTCCGAACACGGCCATTTGCACCAGCATGCGGTGGGGGGTTTTGGAGAGCTGGTAGGGCGTGTTGAAGGCGTGCGTCTGGGGCTGTGTGAAATGTCGCACGGCGTTGAGGCCCAGATGCATGAAGCCAGAGTCGCCCAGATTGGCCACTTCGACGTTGCCGTCGGGCTCGGCAACGGCCAGACAGGCGGTGCTGCCGCCGCCCTCAATGGTGGCATCGTCCGTGACCTTGTCGTAGGCGACCTGGAGCAGGTCCTTGGGGTGCAGCGACGTCGTGTTGAAGCCGTGCGGCCACGAGCGGGCGGCGCAGGCCATGTACTCGCACAGGCCGTGGGAGAAGTCGGCGGGGTCCAAGCCGGACTCGACCCATCCTCCCACGCCGTCTGCGACGCCGAATGTCGTCGTGTGCGTGTTGCCGACCTGGCTGAAGAAGAAGGCGTCCTGGCCGCTTTTGGCGCGCCGGTGGGGGTCGATGGCCTCTTTGCACTCGCGCAGGTCCTCGATCTTGCTCTTGCTGGGGTCGTGCAGCGGGCGCGTGTACAGGTTCTGGTCGGCGTCGAAGCTGTCCTGCTTGGCCGAGTACGACGCGGCAACGTGGTACGAGTATTGCGGCGCACTCCGCCCATTGTGCGAGGGGCCGTGGAGGGAGCGTAGGCCGATGGTGGCCGGCGACGTGTCTCTGTTCAGCGGACAGGTCGGCGGTGCGTAGCTGGGCATGCGCTGCAGATGGAGGCCAGCATTGCGGCTGGTCGACGCCGGTGCTACCAATGGCGATGCCGTCAGGGCCAGCAGAAGGACGCCCGTCGACGAGGCGCGTCGCGATGCCGGAGAGAGTCGCGCAAGGCCCGCTGCGCTGGTGATGGCAAATGACATGGCCACAGCCCAAGCCTGGAGAGACTACGAGTTAGCACGGGGACGCGAGGGCTGGCGGGCGGTGCAGCCAAGGGAGCGCACCATGGCGGAGCCGTACCTGTGCAAAGACGACGTGGAAATAAAAAAGGGACTTTTGGGCTAAGAATTCACATTGGCCGTCGTCATTGCCGATCGGCTAGCTGCTGAGGGCGGTGGTACTTACAAAGAAGAGGAGCATCGTCGCCGGGTGCGGCTGAGGCGACGGCAGAGGCGGCAGAGACGACACGAGTGTGGGCAGGCCCCGTCTAGCAGCTTTGGCCTGTTTTTCAGGACATCTGTTCACTCGCCCGAGGCTCGTTTGTTGCAGGCGGCCAAACACCACAGGCGTTGGCCTCAAACGCGGAGAATGACATAACCGGCGCTAGCTCAGCCCTATCGCCTGGGCCCGTGTCTGGCTGCGAACGTCTTTTCGAGAGACGCCTGCACCACCTCGACCACCCTTCCCCGCTGCGGGACAGACCGTCACGAACCCGGCCACGATGAGCATGCACCCGGCGCGACAGGCCTATGTCGAGGAGGACGAGGCCGCGGTACGTATCTGGCGGTGGAGGCGGGCACCGAGCTTCACATGCTTCATCCATGTAGCTTCTCGTTCAAAGCTAACCAGCGCGCCAGGGCAGTGCCATGGAGGGCATCGACCTGGCAAGCGTCCGTATGTATCCACGCGACTTGGGCGAGCAAGACAAAGTGCTAACCAGTCCAGCCCTCGACTGCAACCATGCCCTGCCCGGCGGAGGCAACGCGACGGCCACCTCGCTCATGGAAGACTTTGATCGCAAACGACGAGCCGCCCAGCTGATAGTGCCGACAGCCGACCGCGATGTCAAGGCCAAGCTGCGCTCGCGAGGAGAACCAATTACCCTCTTCGGCGAGGGTCCTGCTGAGCGCCGCGACCGACTTCGCGCCCTGCTTGCAGAGGCACAGGAGGCACTGGGCGAGGATGCGGCAGATGTGGACATGCAGGATGCGGACGAGGCGCCGGGCGACGAGCAAGAAGAGTTTTATACGCAGGGCACGCAGGCGCTCTTGGATGCGCGACGAGAAATGGCCAAGTACTCGCTGCCACGAGCCAAGGAACGAGTCGCATACCAGCGTCGCGAGGCTACGATACCACTCAAGACTCACATTGAGTTTCGCAACAGAATCAAGGGCCGGCTCAAGGGCTTCGAGCTGTACGGGTCGCAGACCGCCGACCGCCCAGTGAGCATCGTCCGCGTCTCTCCAAATGGTCAATACGTTGCATACGGCACCTGGGGTGGCAAGGTTGCACTGCTGGAAATACCCAGTCTTGAGCAGAAAAGGGCCTACCGCGGTGGACACGCCGAACGTGCGACGGGTATAGACTGGATGCCTGGTGCGACACTGCCTGGAAGCACCGTGTCGAGCTCGAGTGTGAATTTTGCGTCGGGCGGTGCTGGAGGCAAGGTTCAGCTCTGGTCTCTTGACGACGACAAACCCCTGCGGACTCTAGAAGGACACTCTGACCGCGTCTGTCGTCTAGCCTTCCATCCTACTGGGCGATATCTAGCTTCAGCGTCTGACGATACGACGTGGCGGCTCTGGGACGTGAACACGGGGCAAGAGCTGCTTATGCAAGAAGGGCATTCAAAAGAGGTGTATACCGTGAGCTTCAATGGCGATGGATCCTTGGTTGCCAGTGCGGGTCTCGACAGCATTGGTCGCGTGTGGGATGTCCGTACCGGGCGGGTCATCTACATGCTGGAAAGTCACATCAAGCCTATCTATGGACTGGACTGGGCCACGGATGGCCATCGCCTGCTTTCGGGCTCAGGCGACGGATTCATGAAATGCTGGGATGTGCGCGCAATGAGGGAGACCAACTCGATTGCCGCCAACACAGGCGGTGTTACCGACCTGCGATGGTTCAAGGGCACAGATGGGCCCAACACGGGCGTGGCGCTGCAAGAGAATGAAGATGGGCAGCTGATTCCCAAGAAGGCGTCGACGTTTGTCATTTCATCTGGCTTCGACAAGAACGTGCAAATCTTCTCGGCCGACGACTGGGCGCACTGCAAGACGCTGCAGGGTCACGCTGGGCCCGTCTTCAGCACGGATGTCACGAGCGATGCATCGTGGATTGTAAGCGGCGGAAAAGATCGTACGGTGAAGCTGTGGGCGAGAGACGATAATGGAGGGATATGATGATGCAAGGCCAAGACGAGCACAAGTTGAAGGAAGATCAAGACCAGAGTTACCGACTTGGAGTTTGAAACAAGTCACACAGGTCAGTGCTGTCCTTGCTATCCCCATGTATACCACCATTTAAATATTGAACCCCAAAAAAGAAAGTAAGAAAGAAGGAATCCGTAGCTTGAACCCGAGATACCCAAGCCTCTCGTTCGTCGTCTCTGTACGCGTTGGGAGTAGCCAAAATACACATACATACACATACACATAGACACGCGCGCGCACTTGCACGCGTCTTCAGCTATCTCATTTTCCGCTTTCCAATTTCCCCCCTTGGCACCGAATCCCAAGACGCATAGATGCATTTCTTGGTCTTTCTCTTGCAAAAGCTTCGTATGAGTCATTATTATTATTATTATTTCTCCGCATTAAATTTACAGAGTCATTTCTCCCTCCCTACGCGCGCACACTGGTGCTGCTCTTCGGTCTCGTTGGTCCCAGTACCCAGTACCATTACAGTCACAGTCACACACACAATCACACACACAGTCACACATGGTGTTTGCCTGTCTGTAAAATGGGCCGATAATCTGACCTTGGCCGGCCGACACTAAGTAAGTACCACAGCAATCACCTCCGAGGTGTCTCCTCGTCGTCGTCGTCGTCGTGCTAAGTATTCTCTCTTCGGTCCTACCAAAGTCATCGGCGCGAATTTTAGTCATGCAAAATTGGGTTCTAAGTAGGTTGTGCTCGGCATATGGACTGAGCATGGGTATGGGTATGGGTATGGACGTGTGTGTGTGTGTGTGTGTGGAGAGAGAAAGCATGGACATTCAGTATATGTATGTATACAGTAAAAGACATGTGATTATTATGACGAAATTGGCATCAGCCCCCCCCCTCCCTTGTTTTGATTTGATTTGGTCTGATTTGATTTGATTTGATTTGTTTTGTTTTGATTATGATGATGATGACGGTGATGGTTTAAACTCCTTACGTATGTATGTATGTACCCGCAATTTCTCAAACACACCTTCTTTTCCAGAGTGCGAGTGCTGCAAGGGGCAGCAGCAGCAGATATCTAAGTCTAGACGTTTAGTTGTGAGTGGCCATGCATCAAACCGTCTACACCGCAACAAAATCAATCACATGATTTTGATATCATCATTGTCATCATTAATATTATCATTATTATTAGTTATTATCATTATCATCATCTTTTTTCGGTTAGGGGGACGTACTATAACTGAAGACTGTGAAGAAAGAAACAAAGAAACAAAGAAAAGGGATACTACTTACTTACTTGTAGTAAAGAGCGAATCAGACAGCAACAGAGACAGAGACAAAAAGTCTATGTGAGTCTGTGAGTGAGAAATACTACGTACGTACTTGGTTGGAACAAGGAAGGAGGGGGGGTGGCCTCACCGCAACATTGGATCGCCGCCCTCACCTTCCCCCCCCCCCCCAACACCAAGACTGGACACCAAGACCACACACAACAACAGGGGTGGGGGGGGGGGGTAAAAGAGTAAGAGGAAACTAATTTTTTTCTTTCTTACTTTTCTTTCCTTGTGCTTGTGCTTGGTAGTAAAATGGAGCTATGTTTCAGGTTTTTGTGGGTGTGAGCGGTCTGACGCTTGAGTCGCGGGGGGGTGGTTGCATGGAATGTGCATGCATGCATGTATGCATGGTAAGGGAGTGCGTGTGTGTGTGTGAGTGTGCGTGTGAGTCTATGTCTATGTCTATGTGTGTATGTATGTGAGTGTCAAATTGGATGCATGCCCGGTTCCGCGTTAAAGTGGTTTAAATGGGCAGTTTGGCTCCCAGTCATGATGGATGGGCAGGGCATGGCAGGGCATGGTAGCGTCATCCAAAAAAAAGGTCCCCAAAAAAAGTCACTTGTGGTTAACGGAGAAAGTATATAGTCCAAGCTTTTCAAAATGGGGAATTTTTTCTCTACTAGCGGCTTGTAAGTATAGAGGTAATCTTTTTAGAGCTTAGTTTACCGTCATCGGTCATCGGCCGGTAATCAATTTTTTTAGTAGTATTTTTTTTTCGTCTTTCTTACTTACTTACTTACTTACTTACTTGGGTATCTGGTATCGTGTTTTGTATTTCCTTTTCAAGGTGGTGTTTGCGAAAAGAGAGGGAAATGTCCGGGGTAACCGGTACGTAACTTAGTCAGTTGAAGTCAAGTGAGTCACGCGTGCGCGCGCTTTGCGCAACAAAGACAGAAAATGTCAAGGGCAGAAGGGCCAACTTTTTACGACTTCTGGGTTCCTATTGGTCAGTAGGGCTTGAAAAGTTGAGTGGCTGAGTTTGGTGTTTTTTTTTATTCCGTCCTGGTCCAATGCAGAGACGAGAATAACTTTGGCAGGCAGCGGCAGCGGCAGTGCAGCCCCATTCCCATTGAGTGAAGTGAGCGTAACTAAGTTGGTTGGTTGGTGCCAAAAGACAAGGACCAAACTAAAACGCGGGTGTGCGGATAGTGGAGCCTTGGTACATTGACTTAGTAGTAGGCCGTCTTTTTTTTCTTTCACCGCTGGCAGCCTCACGTATGCTTTTTTTGCTTTCTTGGTGTTGAGAGATATACGAGAGGGTCTCACGATAGGGAAAGCACGGCATGTGTGTGTGTGGAAGCATGCCCCCAAGTCGCACCACTGGATTGCCGTGCATGGGCGACTTGGTGATGTGTCTGTCTCTCGCTCGCTGGTTGTCAAGGCAAGGCAAGGGGGGGTGGCTTTGGTGAAGGGTCAAGAGGGTGGAGGTGGAGGTAAGAATTGGCAGCATCCGACTAGTTGGATGGGAAAGTGGAGCCGTTGGACTCTCTGGCTGTGGGTGAGTGAAGCTCGGCGTGTGCCACAGTAAGTAGGTGTAGACGGATGGGCAGGCGCGGCAGTCATGGAGGGAGGGATCAGATCAGATCAGCCGCGACAGTCGGGGCGGTCCAGATGCGCGTCGGCTGTGAGAGAGGGGTGGGGCAGTCGCAATGAGTGGTGGCGCTTTGGCTGTTTCCGCCAGAGGGCTGCGCGTACGTTTTTGGCGTGAGGCCATGGGTGCTGAGTGCGTGGTAGGCCTTTTTTGGTGTGGAGGCCTTTGGTTGCCGCGGTAGGCGTCACGCAGAGCAACACGGCGCCATGGCGACGGGCCATGAGGGCGTTGCTGGGCTAGCGCGAGAGAGGGTATTTTTTTGTTTCTTTTGGCTTTGTCTGGTATACCTGGTAATAGGCAGAGGGCAAGAGCAAGGTCACTGTTGGTTATGCTCGCCATCATGATCACCGACTGGCTTGGGCCCGCCCCCGAGGTTGGCCGGCAGAAGCAACGGCAGGCAGGCATTTGGCAACGGGAGCATGATGGATGACGCACAGCGAGGTGTGTAGGGTCGAGGGTCGAGGTGTACATGTAGGGGGGTAAACTGGGATGCAGTGACATGGTAGAGCAGGGCAAGAAAAGGGCACATCCAGGTTTCAGCCTGGCGCATCATGGTACCTTTTTTTCCATGGCGGCAGCGTACATGGACAGAGCACAGCGGAAGACGGGAGCAGCAGCACAGCTAGTATAGTAGTAAAAAAGAGAGTGGAAGAGGGTTGTGGTGGACAGGGAAGGCTGGTGCGGGCACGAAGCGGTGAGATGACTCGTGCAGGCAGTGCGCAGCAACGAGTGGGAGGCGGGCAGCAGATGACAGCATCATGTCGAGCAGCAGCACGGGGGGGGCCAAGTTGCAGCGTAAGATGAGAGTCGGGTGACGGGGCAACTGCCGGGAGGAGAGGCAGTCAGTAGTCGGTGGTGGTGGTGGTGGGAGTAGTGGGAGTGGGAGTGGTCATAGTGTGGGCGGGCGGACTAGGCGGGAGATGGGAGGGAGGGAGCGTGCGGCCCTCAGCAGATGATTACACACGCACACACGCACACACACACTCACACACACACTCACACACACACACACACACACACACACACACACACACAGAGACACACGACAGAGGCTCGCGATGCGCGGCTGCCAGCGACAAGACCAGACCAGACCAGACCAGAGCGGACAAAGCACCAACAGCAGCAGCATGGCGGAAGGAAGAGTGCATGGGCGTCTTGACTGTTTCGAGCAGAGTTTTCACCGCGGACAGGCCCGGCAGGGCATAGTATGGATGGGCGCTCCGGTGGAATTTGGCAGTATATGGGCCGGCCCGCGCAGGCTAGCCAGTCAGTGAGAGAGTCAGTGGGAGCGTCAGTGGGAGCGTCAGTGGGAGCGTCAGTGTGCCAGTCAGCTCGGCGGATGGATCGAGGCATGGATGCATGCATGGCCGCAAAGGCTGGGGCGGCGAGTAACAATACAGCAGCGCCCTCTCGACGCCGGCCACGGGCAACGGAGATAGGGTGCCATGGCAGACTGGCAGACGGGCAGATAGACCATGGGCGGACGATACGGCGGGAGCGAGGGGGGCCTGCCCCGTCCATCTCGGTGCGTCTCGCGCGCGATGCGTGACGGACGGCGGGCTAGCGACAAACGGCTAAGCAAGCAACCTGACGACAAACACTGGATAATGGATGCGGAGGCGATGCGAGGCCATGCAAGGCCATGCACGGCCGGCTTGGACAGGACAGCCGCAGCCAGTCGCTGCGTCGGCCATGCATCCATACCCAACGCTATTGGGGCGTCCTATCGCACGCCCTTGTCGCAGATGCATCCCTCTTGGTACAAGCTGCAAGCAGGCTTCTCTCTCTACAGCTGCTGCTGCTGCTGCTTTCTGCTGCACACCCCGCCCCAGCTTTAAGCACGCCCGCCCGCCCGCCTGCTCCCCAAAAAGCCCGCCATCACCACCACCACCACCGCCGCCGCTACTGCTGCACTACTACTCCTCTCCCAACTCCCCTCTACTACTACTCCTCTCCTCGGCTCTTATCCTCTCCTCCTCACCTCACCTCACCTCACTTCTCCCCCTCTCTCCCCCTCACGCAGCCTGGTGTTGTTACTGCTCCTGCTGCCCCACCCGCCGCGCCTTGCCCAAAACAGCAATCCACACCGCCAGTCCCGCGGCTACACCGGTACTTTGTACTTTGCTACAAGAGTCGGCCATGGACCACTCGTACCCCAACAACCCCAACCACATGGATTTTCACAGGCCCTCGTCGTCGGCACTAAACTCGCTCGACTCCAGGAAACCCTCGGCCTTTTCCTTTGACGACAACGCCACGCTCGACTCCAACATCCTCGACACCCCCGTCCTCATGTCGCCCTCGACCAGCACCCAGGGCATCTTCTCGCCCGACACATCCATCTGGGAGGACTTCTCGGCCGCCCAGTTCGTCGACCGCACCGCCACCAGCTCCGTCGTCAACACAAACGGCAACAACCCCTTCTTCACCGAGCAGAGCAACAACCCTTTTGCCCGCCTGCCCCCCAACCAGGCCGCCACCTACGGCCAGCAGTCATGGCCCGTTGCCGACAACTCGGGCGCCCGCACTCCCACGGCCTCCAAGCCCCTCAACCCCTTTGGTCCCGGTGACTTTGGTGCTGCCCCCTTTGTCGACCAGCAGCAGCAAATGTCGTTCCACGCCCTCCCTGTCCACCAAAACGTCCGCCCCAGCGCCGTCTTCCAGGCCGCCCCCGAGCAGCCCATGTCCCCCCACACCCACTCGGACTGGATGGCCTTTAACCAGCAGGAGATGGATGCCCGCCCCGGCCCCAAGCGCATGCGGCCCAACACGCCACCCCGCTCCTTCTCGCCCCGCCGTGACGGCGGCATCCGCAAGAAGAATGCCCGCTTCGACATCCCTGCCGAGCGCAACCTGCACAACATCGACACGCTGATCCAAGGCTGCACCAACGAGGAAGACCTCAAGGAGCTCAAGCAGCAAAAACGACTTCTTCGCAACAGACAGGCCGCGTACGTCTCCACCACCCGCTGCTGCCCGCCTTTTGGTGCTTGGTTCCACAACCCCCGCGTTTTGGTCCCATCTGCCTTTTGGTCTATGCTTTCCCTCTTCCACCCCCCCCCCCCCCCACACACTGATGCGCTAACATACATGCTAGACTTGACTCCCGGCAGCGAAAGAAGAAGCACACCGAGGAGCTTGAAGAGGAGAAGAAGCAGTGGATGGAGAAGATCTGCCAGATGCAGGACGACTTTGCCACGATGCGCCTCGAGTACGAGGCTCTTGTGGCCGAGAAGGAGAACTGGCACCGCGAGTCCATGGAGCTGCACCACATGGTCAACCAGCTGCAGTTCGACAAGGAGGAGCTTGTCCGCACCCACACGATTGAGACGGGCGAGCTGCGCAAGAAGGTCTCTGTCCTGACGGAGCGCCTCGAGGCCGCCACGGGCAACGGCATGGCTGTCGCCCCCAGCACCACCTTTACCGACTTTGCCTCGGAAATGGACGAACCTCAACA